AAAATCCTATCACATGACAAGAACTTGTATCCAATGTTGTCCTACTTACAGAGATGACTTCAGTGTGAAGCTGGCCTTGCTAAGCAATCAATGGCAGGGTGTGGTGAGGCGAGCACAGCAGCGAAGGGGCATTATTGATAGTCTGGTCCGCCAGTGGCAGAACTACCGGGAGATGGCGGAGAAGTTGCTACAGTGGCTTCAAGAAGTTACCCGTGATCCAGATGTACATCAGCCAGGAGAACCAGTGGCACTGCAGCAGGCTAGAAACCTGTTAGATCAGATACAGGTAGGTTACAGCACTGTAGAGAAGGCATTGAGGTTTCTAATCTTGTCTGAAATTACTTTATCTAAAATATTTATGCTTTATTATCTCTGCATGTCACAATTCTAATTAAAATTCATTTCAGGTATATAGCAGTTAGATGAGGTTGGTGATGGGTTCAGTCACTGACACTCCCACCTCATCCTGAACTAATTATTTTCTCATAAAGATTGTTTAAAAAGTTTGCATAATTTATGAGGTCACTGGAAGATGACTTTGAGTTTAACTGAATAATGCAGAGCTAAATTTTTACAAATCTACCATGCTCAATCTTTACAAACATAAATCCTATTTAAAAACCCTCTAGTTCCTGCTACTCTTCAAACGTCATACTTTAATTAAACAAGAAATTGTCCAAAGCAAATCTTAACCTCCTAGTAATAAACCCACACCCCTTTTCCAACCTTAGACTCCCTTAGTTAACCTGTACCCCCTCTGCCAACTCTCCCTGTCTGTGCTCCTCCAGCTGAGGGAGCGGGTGCTGCAGAGGCAGCAGGGCAGCTACATCCTGACGGTGGAGGCCGGCAGGAGCCTGCTGCTGTCAGCTGATGCCTGGGCGGAGTCCACCCTGCAGACGGAGCTGATGGACATTCAGGAGAGGTGGAGGCACGCTCACCACCGCCTGGACCATCAGAGGAGGGAGCTGCAGGGCTTGCTCAAGGTCAGACAAAACTACAACTGGATTAAGAAAAAATCTGATGTGTAATGTTGTATTATGGGACATCCTGCACTACTGCAGGTGTGTGAAGCCTCGTTAGAGCACAGTCTGTGCTGAAGGCTAAAGCTGCATCTCTACCATGCTGCAGTATGAAAGTGGTGTGAAGAGTGCTGTGAAGGGTGCTGAAGGGCATCTGAGCCCTTAATGAGTCTGCCCGGTTGTACATGCAGGACACTGAAACCAGGTTATCACATGAATTATGCAGCACTGCATTTTAAGTCAAAGGACAGAGATGGCGCACACTCACTTCTGTCATCAGATTAATTGTGAAGCATCTACGCACACTCACACTAGCTCAGCGTTACAAAACAGCACAAAGATATAAAAGTGCCAGCCCAGGGCACACATCCACATGAGCACACACACATATGCGGACAGTGCAGACACTGCGCAGTGAGCTGGAATGATTTTCACCCTGCTGTGATAGTGCTCTGTTTGAATGGGACAGAGTGACGCAGTTTAAAAGATGCATCCGGGAATTTGGCTTTCTTTGTCGAACATCGTTCTTCCTTCCTACTCTCTCTCTCTCTGTCCTCCTTGGGTTGCACTCAGAGAGCAGCTACTGTAGCTATTCTTGTCCTGTCCTGGCTGTTCTTTTATCATGACTCTTATTGAAGGTATGCCACCCTGCTGCAACATTTCTTGCCAAATATTACCCTGTTTTGTCCTGAATTGGACAGTTATTCAGACTCTAAAAATAGCTGCAAGCTGCACCCTTTGGAGCAGAACCTCCCTCCTCATGAAGCTGTGTAAATTCTTACCCTTTGCTGTTGGATTTTTGCTGTGTCACTCTTTCTCGTGGTGTTGCTTGGGAGGATCAGAGCCGAGAGGGCTGTGTGCGGCATGATAGTTGATGTGGCGTGACTTCAGCTTTGATGTTTGTTTGCGTGTATGCGTATGATTGTGTATTCTGCAGCTTACCCATACTGATGCTACCACTGCAGCTGCAGGAAGAATTTATAGCAGTGTCCCCTGGTATGAGAAGAACTGCAGTCTGTGCAAGTGTGTGTATATGTGTGTGTTTTATGGTCTAATTCTCACTCTGTGTTTTTGTGTGTGTATGTAGAACTGGGAACGGTGTGAGAAGGGCATAAATGCATCACTGGAGAAGCTGAGGGCCTTCAAGAGAAAGCTGTCTGTTCCACTGCCTGATCACCACGAGGAGCTGCACTCAGAGCAAATCAGATGCAAGGTGAGCAGAATCTAATACACATTACACGCACATTATTGTCGCACACGTTCAAATCGTTTATTCCTTCCAGGTTTATTTCATTTTGCATCAATGCAATATGACTTTTTATCTCACATGCATCATACATATACACATGCTTACTCTCTCTGTCTCTACTGACCTGTCTCTCTGTTACATACACACACACTCAGTCATTCACACACACACACACACACACACACACACACACACACACACACACACACAGACCCAGACTTGTCCTCCCTCTGCCCCTTAATCTGGCTACGAGGACAAACAGATAAACAGACAGACCAGAAGGAAAAAAAAAAACAAATGAAACTATCAGCTGCTGTCTGGTTGTGTGACCTTATTTGTTAGACTGTTGGTATAAATTTTGTTTATTCTCCTGCGGGGGGGAAACATTTTGAGTCTTTATCTAATTTTAAGAATTATACGTTATTCTTGTAGTCTTGCATATAATTTGTTTTCTGTAAGACGAGCTTGTCTTCGTTGGTCAAGAATTATTAAAATGGCCCAGGCTAAAATGATGCTTCTGGAATAAGTAAACACTGATGTTCTCATTGTTCCCATAGCTGTAATCCAATTTTTGTGTGAAAATTCACATGCTGATGATTTGCAATTTGTTGTCAACCACTGGGCACTGTATGCAATCATGTTTCATGCATGACATGTCCTCAGTTCCTCAGGGAGTAGGAGGGTTGTGAGGGTAGCTGCACGTAGTTACCATCAGCTAAGGGAAGAGAGAGGGGGTGGGGAGAGAGAGAGAAGGAGAGAGGAAGAGAGGATGCGTGCGCATGAGAGTGAGCAAGCGAGAGAGAGCATCCCTGGTTGCAGTGGGGGTGTATTTATGTATGTGTGTGCGCTTCCTTTTGTGCGTGTTGCATAATGGAGACATTCTCCACAAATGAATACACCGCAGCACAACCGTCACAGTGACGGAGGAGGAGGAAATGCAAGGTTAGATGTGTCTGTTACCTTATCTTGCCTTTAACCTTGACTGTGGCTGTTTTATTTTACTATTTGAATGTTAATGTTTTTTAACCTTTTTTAAGGAAATTAAATTCTTGCATTCAGAAGAAATTTTCTGTATTTTTGTTACACAATTTGCATTGATAGTTTGTTTTGTTTTTCCTCACACTGTTTCTGTGGGTGCAGCAGCTGCAGTTGAGCTTCTGTAGTTCTGCTCTGAGGTATTCCTGTTCTGTTTAACTATGGCTGCTGGTTAGCAGGCTGGTCTGAGTGTATCTTTGCTTATCATTCTGGGTGTTGTTCATCATTTATTGTTGTCATGTTATGTGGATGCAGGAATTGGAGAGCAGTGTGGAGGGATGGACCGATGACCTTACTTCCTTGTTCCTGCTGAGGGACTCCTTGGAGGGTGTGGTCAGTGCAGATGACATCACAGTCTTACAGGAACGCCTCCAGCTGCTTCAGCGTCAGTGGGGGGAGGTCTGCCACCAGGTAGGTTCACACAGTACACATGACCATGATTATTCTTTTCTGGGGTGTTTTAAAGGGCTGATGTTATTTTATTTCCCCAGTAAGTTCTTTAAGTGCTTTCTCTGTGTAAGGTCAGCCTAATTTGCCTTATATCCTTAAGTGTCTCCTCACATGGTTGATTTAACTTTTGCCTTTAGCAGCGGTGCTAACAGCTGCGCTTAATTTGACTGAGAGGAGTTCACCTTTAGCTAACTTTCCACTCCCCAGGGCCAACAGTGTTTTTGTGAGATGTGTGTTTCTTGGGTCAAGAGAAGTTTAGATGCAACTAAGCATGTTCTTGTTGCTACTTGAGTAGTGTTTTTTTGTTGTTGTTGTTTTTGTTTTAAGAGTAAACTGTTTGGTCACATCATGAAGTATTCAATCGAGTTTATCTTCCACCAAATCTTTTCTTTTCCACTATTAAACCACCAAATTGTCACATCTTCTTCTTATTTTAACCCTTCTTCTCATAATCCCCTTCCACGTCACTCCTCTTGTATCCTCCCTTCTCCCTTTCTCTTATCCTCTGGCCCTCTCGGTCGTCCCCTCAGCTTTCCCTGCGCAGGCAGCAGGTGAGCGAGAAGTTGAATGAGTGGGCAGTTTTCAATGAGAAGAACAAGGAACTATGTGAGTGGCTCACACAGATGGAGAGCAAGGTCTCTCAGAATGGGGACATCAGCATTGAAGAGATGATCGAAAAGCTGCGCAAGGTGATTTCAGCACATGATCTTAACAAAAAAAAAATATACATAAAATGCACCTAGGTAGAAACTATTGAAAACAACACATCTATGTACAGGTCCATATTTGAACTGCTGTAATGCATCAGAGAGACCAAGTTAAAAGTCTTTTGCTGATTTTGAGATGTATAAAGTGCACTGTATTTTTCCTAGTTTAGTTCTGACTAAGGGAATGTGGAGCAATGTGGTCTCATCTGCAGCATTAATGCACACTTGCATGGACACGCACACACTGTACACCACATTCACAGCTCCATGTGTTATCCTGCTCTTTGTTTCTCTCCCAGGACTACCAAGAAGAGATCAGTGTAGCTCAGGAGAACAAACAGCAGCTGCAGGTTATGGGCGAGCGCCTGGCCAGGGCCAGCCAAGACAGCAAGGCGGCCGAGATCCAACACAAGCTCAGCAAAGTCAGCGAGCGCTGGCAACACTTGCTGGACCTCATCGCTGCCAGGTGGGTGCACAAGACTCCCATGAGCAGGTGGAGAGTGTTGTTTGATAGCAGATAGAGTCTGAGTCAGTTCTGTGAAAGTAGAGGAGACATTTTCAGGCGACCCAAAAAATTGGGAACATATAACAGCAAAATTATATTGCCTGCTAAAGTGCTTCAGAAATACAGTTCAAACTATTCAATGTCATGGCTTTAGATTGTGGTCTAATAAATACACGTACATATAGTCCTCATAGTATTATTGAATGGAAGAAAGAAAGGCAACTCTGTCACAATGCAACTCCTCATCCAACACATCCCCTCCTCTTCATCGCTCCTCCTAGTGGAGAATGGTTTTTATCATTGAAGGCATGCTAGGCCTCAGTTAGTTGCCATGGTATCCTTCATGACACTCCAGCACACGTGATGGGGAATTTGTTTTCCCACAGTGCTGCTGAGGCATTTCCTGAGGTCCTTGCCATTTGCCTTCCACTTAGTGGAGCTGCAAGCTAAGCAGAAAGAGGTCACATTCTTCATCCCACCTCAACTCTCTCCTTTTGTCTCCATCTACCTTTTTGGCACTCTGGAATTTGGCTTTGGTTTTTTGTTGACTTAGTGAATCCATTTTGAAAGTGCTGTAGAGCAGTTGGTGAGATGGTTGCTTAAAGGCTATACCCGAGTCACATTTGTTAATATGATTCAGATCTGGCTGTTCAATACAAATATTTGAGTATTCCTTACTTTTTTCCCTATGTAGACCACCCTGCAATCAGAAAATCCATTGGCCTGAATTTCTTTTAGATTAGAGCATTTGAAAATCAGTTAAGGACAGCTGCATATGCTGTAAGATTTGAGTTGCGGCATAATTCAATTGCTAACATACAATGTTGGGTACCCGTATGTTTTTTTCGAAATGATAAGACAGGCAACACTCCTTTATTCCTTTTAAAGTCACGCTTTTATAGCCTTGTTTATTTAACTTAAAACATTAAAAACAGCTGTAAATGAATAAACAAATGAAACAGTTTAAAATACATTAATGGCATTATTTACCCGCAATCAAATAACTCACTTTGCTTGTTTAACAGGAAAGTCCTACTGCTTTATTTCTCTTTAAAGGTATACTATTCAGGATTGTTGGTTATTGTTTGTTAACACGGTTGCAAGTGAAAGTAAAAGCCAATCCCAGATTCACTCTAGTTTGGTGTTTCCCCTTACTCTATTTGTGTTTTTTCAGCTCTGTGTTCTTGGATGCCTGCTGCTTACAGTCTGGTGCCTGGTCGCGACCTTTTTATCTACCTTTTTAAGTCCTGACCTCACTTAAGTGCTGCAGGGGTACACACCCATAAATGACCCAAATGCAGAAAATAAAAAGATAATTAGAAAACACAGGCAGAGGGCAGAGTCTCTGCAATGAATACACCACCACAATCCTCTAGTGGGTCCTAATGATGATTTAGGGGAATTACTTCTGTATGAGTCTACACATTTTTCGAAAACTAACAAATACAGCTAAACAAGGATACATTAGAAATACATAATATTGAACACTGGAATTATTTATAGATGAAAAAAAAAAGAGTAGGCCTGGAATTTTTAAATAAATTGTCTTTCTCATTTTAACGTGGAAACCATGAACTCCTCTCTCTGTATGTTGTGAACTGAAAGTAACCTGACCCAAACTTTGACACCAACTACCTCAGCTGCTCCATCCCCCTGGATGTCTTCCGACTGTTACCCTCTGGGACTGAAGTATATGAGGGAAGTAAGGGGAGGCCAGTCTCTGACCTCATACAGACAGCTGCACTCTCTTTGTCTCCTATATCTGTCCTTAACTTCAAAACAACAGGACAGAGAGTTTGTAGCCGTCAGAGAGCAGAACACTTAAGTGTTGTGTTTTCTGCAGAATTTTTATCTCATGGACTAATTTATTGACAGTTTCTGGAGTTGCTACTTTCTGAGGAAATGAGGATCTGTAATTACTCTCTTGCAGACGTGTTTTACAAGAAAGCTTTTAATCTCGTTTTTCACTATCATTGAGATTTACTCACATGTGCAGAGTTTCCAGACTTTGCTTCTGTTTCCAATCCCTTTTGTGTGTATCTGGTGTGTGATACTCTGACACAGCCCAACTCTGCAGCACATGCCTCTGACTGTAAGTTTTTTTTTAGAAACAGCAGCACTTGTCACTCTCAGGCACTCACACTCTCTCACACTCACAGACATACACACACACATCCATGCCTGTTTGGGGTTCTCTTTTTTTAACCTTGGAGAGCAACAGTTGATAATCACAGTTGTGCCACCCCACCACTACCTGCTTGTCCTTCCCCCTCTGCTCAGAGTTTAGAGAAAGTCCCATGTGGAGCACACAGATGAAAGAGAAGAGTGTTTGGATCAACACCGTTACGCTTCCTAACGTCTTTTGGAATTCTGCTCCCCCATGGTTTTGGATTTAGGGACGGATAATATGGCAGGATGTCCGAGCGAGGATCTGCCGGATTGCGACTGCGATGTCAACAGGCAGGACAAACTTGAGAATTTATGTTGAAGCTATTTTTTTAGAGACAACAGTCTACAGTTTGAAAAAGAGTGAATCAGCCCCATGGGTTTTCCATATGCTACACTCCCACTGGTTCACTTCAGATTAGTTTTGTTACATTGTGTTTTTAATCTTTTCTCAGATTGTTTATGTGGAGTGCTACAGCACCAAGATAAGAATGCTTTAATTTGTTGTTGCTCCATAGCATTTTAGAGGACTCTGTCTTCTTTGTGCAATATTTATTTTTGTTTAAGCTTTATGACTAAGGGCAGATCTGGTTTAACTAGTGTGTAAAAATATTTTTTTGAATGTGGTTTTAATCTGTCTGGGCTCCCAACCTGGGGTGGAGGTTGCCACACAGGACAGTACAAAAGGTTCCAGTCAGTTTTGACAATGGCAGGAGTGTCACTGTCACTGTCACTGTCAGTGTGAGTGCAGCATCATTGTTTGATTGACATCAAAATTAACCTGACCAATGAAGTCATGCAGCCTTATACAATAAGTTTGAACAAATGCTTACACATTTTAGTTATTTGCCGTTTCTGACCAAAGACTGGTGTGTGCAGTGTGTCATGTGTGATGCTTTGCAGTATGTTGCCCTGTAATATGCTGTATCTTGGAATATATGTCATTGTGAAATGCCTCATAGCATATTTAGGAATTTCGAGATGTGATGTGCAGCTGATACTATGCAGTACATACTGCCACAGCACATTAGAGCTGCAGTGATAGTAGAGTAGACCTGCTAAATGTGTCTGTTGTTGTCTTTAGTTTGTTTATATATTATTAAATGGCCAACGCCTTCATTCTTATCATGTTTGGTGTTACAGTGAGAGTTGCATTGCTTTGCAGGGTGGGGAGTTGGATGCACAGACTGTAGTAAGAGTTGGATGTTGGCTTATTTAAACATCTTACACATATCATTGGTTGCAGTGGTAAGGCTTTGGAAATGTCAGGCATCTGCAGACCCAAAGTGGTTTACAGTTGTTGTGTAGGGTCAAGTAAGGTTTCATCACTTCCCAAAAAAAATATCAGTGCGGATCTGAAATAATGCTCCTCACACTCTCCTGCTCTGTTTAGCTGAACGTGACACACAATAACTCTTGTGTTACAGTTATTTTGTGTCTGCAGAAGAAAGAGTGCCTTCTGTGGGATTCAGACCTAGATTTATTCTTACCTCAAATACACAACTACATCCAAAGATGTGTTCAGTGTGTTTCACTGGTGAATTAAAACATTTTTCCTGTCACACATTATTTATGGGAACATGTTGTTTGTTATATTTAACACTCTGTAAAAATAAAACAGAAATAAATAGTATTTCGAAGAAAATTAGACACTTCGCTTTGATACTTGTATACATTTTAACCCCTGATGCCAGGGAAGACCAGGGTTCCCATGGTTATGGAAAAGTCATGGAATTCAATTGTCTTGTTTTCCAAGCCTGGAAGAGTCATGGAATTTTGTTGTGTGTAATGAAATTTTTTTTGTGGATAACCTTCCACTTTATGTAATATAATGGCTAATATATTTTCTGTAGCTGACATAACGTAGCTCTAATGTGTTGTTTGAATAGAGTTTGAATCTGATATGTTGGAATACAGTTGGTCAAGAATAATGTTGTGACAGTGTGATTTAACATGCAGGGTTATGAATCCCAAAGTTTCCATATCCCAACGTGCAATGCTTTTAAATTCTGATGCTTTGTTTTTTTGTTTTGTTTTTTTTTTGGGGGGGGGGGGGGGGGAATGCATTAATGCATTGATTTAATAAAGGGGCATTGTTTGCCTTTAATGGACAGGACAGTTATGTGTGAGAGGGGGAGAGAGAGGGGGGATGACATGCAGCAAAGGGCCACAGGCTGGACTCGAACCCGGGTCACTGCAGCAACAGCCTTGTACATGGGGCACCTGCTCTACCACTAACTAACTACCACTGACGCATTTTTGAGATGAAGCAATTGACATGGGCAGCCAGTGCACACTTTGGTTAATTATAATTGCTTTGAAAGCATGGTAGTGCTCTGAGAACATGGTATACTGAAGGTACGGTGCACATGTTGTTTTGGGGATTTTTTTCCGAAAAAATTAACCAACCAGCCAACCAAACTGTCTGCTGTCACTCTCCCACTCTGGAAGCTCTACTGCTCCGTGTCTGTGGACCGCCTACAATAAAATAATTAACATTTGGCTTAAAGTGTAATATACAGTTCTGTTTGTGTGGAAAAATTTTGGAAAATTTCTTGTGGCTCCTGGAAAGTGGTGGAAAAGTTTTGAAGGTTTTGTTGTCCATGAAAAGTGTGTGGGAACCCTGTAAAGCTACATCGCCTCTGATATACTTTGATTTGATGCTGCAGTCTAGTGAGTGATTTAACTGTTATATTTCCAGCATGTTTTATGGTTTGTTGTTATAAAGACATTGTATAAGAATCTGTCCATGAACCTCTTTATTATCACACTGTCTGCCTTAGTGTTCACAGTTGTCCCATGTGTTGACTCTGACTGTATTTCTCTACCAGGGTGAAGAAGTTGAGGGAGACCCTGGTGGCGGTGCAGCAGTTGGATAAAAACATGAGCAGCCTGCGTTCATGGCTGGCTCACATCGAGACAGAGCTGTCCAGGCCCATCATCTATGAAACCTGTGACGACCAGGAGATTCAGAGGAAGCTCAACCAGCAGCAGGCAAGTGGGACCACACAAAAACAATCCTGGGTTACAACAATGTGAAGCAGAATCATTTTTTTGGTGTTTTAAAAGACCTTTGAACAGCACATCATCTATCTCTCCTGCTCACATATTAAAAGACATATGCACACTTAGACAAACACACATGCACTTTGTGAGTTTGTACTTGTCTGTGATTACTACATAACAGCAGGACAACATGACTCAAAGTGAGTTGGTGGAAAATAAGTGACACTGAATCACAGGAGGAAAACACAGCATGACTCATGCATACATATCTGGCTGTTTGTTTAAAGCCTACAGTCAGTATCGGTATACTTCCTGCTGCCAAGATGCTGCTCTAAATGTGGACTGGATTCTGGATTCTCCTGCAGGAGCTGCAGAGTTAGCTAACACAGGCATTTACTGTACTTAAGCAGACTGACTGTGTTCCTTTAGTACACTTTTGCTGAATTAATGTACGGCATAAAAGACACATGGAGCAAAGCTAGGAAGGAGGGTCAACAGACATCAAACAACATTTAACAGCATTAAGGTAAATGTTAAGTGCTTCGAAAATCAAGTTCTTAATCTGACTGAATTGCAGGAGCTGCAGAGGGACATAGAGAAACACAGCACCGGTGTGGCGTCCGTGTTGAACCTGTGTGAAGTCCTGCTCCACGATTGTGATGCATGCTCCACAGAGACAGAGTGTGACTCCATCCAGCAGGCCACCAGAGGACTGGACAGACGATGGAGGAACATCTGTGCCATGTCCATGGAGAGGAGGCTCAAGTCAGTCCCTCTTAGATATGAATTCAATCTTGTATATACATCATATGTCATATATAGGTCATTGCATTTATATGAACGCACTGGTGATAATACTGAGGAATTGTTAGCTAGTGCTATCTTTTGTGTGATTTAAGAGGTTTTTAAATTTGCAAAGTTACATTTAGTCATACATAGACAAGAGGTTTATATGAAAGATTTGGCCAACTGGATCCTAAATGGGCCAACCAAATCCCATTGCCTTCTAAAGTATGCTATAAATCTGCTGGTTATGTTGCTAATGATCTACAGTCATAGTTATATTAAAGAAAGAGTGATTTTTCTGTGCAGGATTGAGGAGACATGGAGGTTGTGGCAGAAGTTTCTGGATGATTACTCCAGGTTCGAGGATTGGCTGAGGACCTCAGAAAGAACAGCAGCTCTACCTAACTCATCTGGAGTTCTGTATACTGTTGCTAAGGAAGAGCTTAAAAAGTTTGAGGTGTGTCTTTTTCACTTATACTATCAGAATGTGGAGAAAAAGAGAGCTGCAGTTGCACACTATATTTAGCTGAATTGGTTGCTTATTTTAAATGCAGTGTTTGTTTATATGTGCATTCTTTGATGTTTTTAAAGGTACCATTCCGACATTCACATTTTCTCATGTGAACAAAAAATATTTAAAGATGGAGACTGCCACTGCAGGGTAGAGGAAACAGAGAAAGAGAGAAGAGTGTCATGTTGCTCAAACCCGTCTGCGCTGGTCTACTCAGCTGCTGCAGTCTGTCACTCTGCACGTGCACATTCCTGCTAGCTGACTGTCTGCCAATGGGATCTGCACTGTTTGTGCCTGATTGGAAAATTCATTATAGATAAACATAGATTGACTCTACATATTTCAGGATTTTGACCTTTAGCATTTAATGACCTCTTATTAATTAGTGTACTGTTTTTTGTGTTTATAGTTAGTCTGTTGTTTTTGCGTTTCCTGTATGAAATATTTACAGATTTTATGGGAGTCCTTGATAAATGTGTGGTTTCTGCATATAAAAAGGTTGAAAAGTGAGTGTGTCCTATTCAGAGCTCTAACTAGTGCATGTTTATTTTTTTTCTCGCAGGCCTTCCAGCGTCAGGTGCAGGAGTGCCTGACACAGCTGGAGCTTATAAACAAACAGTACCGTCGCCTGGCCCGGGAGAACCGCACAGACTCCTCCTGCCGACTCAGGGAAATGGTGCATGATGGGAACAGAAGATGGGATAGCCTGCAGAAGAGGGTGGCAGCCATCCTACGCAGACTCAAGGTAACATTGTCTTGGATTGTTGGCTCTATGAAGTTTGCACACATGTTGTATTGATAAGCTATATCCATATCAAATTACGTCCTCCTACTTCACTTTATTAAATTAATGCATCTCTTGAAATCATTAAGAAACAACCTAGTTAATTTAAAAAGGGTAAAGAAAAATAGTTAAGCATGTATGTTTGTGTGTCCCTCTCTGTTCATACAGCACTTCATCAGCCAGAGGGAGGAGTTTGAGACGGCACGAGACAGCATCCTGGTGTGGCTTACAGAGATGGACCTCCAGCTGACCAACATAGAGCACTTCTCTGAGTGTGACGTACAGGCCAAGATAAAACAGCTCAGGGTGAGACAGAAAGATTAGTTCTTGGATGGCATAACAAGACTCCATGTATCAGTACAAAGCATCTATTAATATATACCATTTAACTTTTCCTTAAATTGCATGCACTATGTCCTACGGTCTGGGGTAACCAAATCCTCTGCAGTTTGTCATTTATGATTCTGTTTGGAGATGAGATGAAAATTGATAAGATGGGGCAAAATTGGAAGGATTGTTGTTGGAAACAAAAAAATGCAATATAGAAAAACATCAAATCTAGTCATACAAGTACATTTTAAAAACTTCTTTGCTGTGCTCCAGTGCTGAAACCTTAATTTGGTTAATTGTCATTAATAAACATTTGTTGGTTTAAGTTCCCTAAGTACAAAGATTTGCTTGCTTCCCTCCTGTTTTCATCACTGTAAGTTTAAATCCTTGATGTTTTTTGACAGTTATGAGACCCCGCTTTAAGCTTGGCTAAACTTGATGAGAAGTTTCTGTAATTTATACATTTTATTAGATTCACAATTAATTTGTTTTGGTGTGAGTTGCAGTGTGTTGGAGATACAGTATTAGCCGCAGAGATGTCTGCCTGCTCTCTGATATGATGAAACTAGATGGCACTCAGCTTGTGGTGCTCAAAGCGCCCCCAAAAATTGCATTTTAAAAACTCAACATCAGTGTCTCTTTCTATAAATCATGACCCAGTTACTGGAGATAATGCAGACACCTCCAACACACGACAACTCACACCAAAAAGATCTACGATGATAAATAACACTATTTTTGATAAGGGGATAACTGTCTCTTTAAATGATCATGTTATTGTTAGATAATTGGCATTATTCAGTTTCCTGACCTCTGATATATGTGTGTGTGTGTTTCTCAGGCATTCCAGCAGGAGATCTATCTGAACACCGGGAAGATCGAGCTGGTGTTCAGACAGGGCGAAGCTCTGATTGAGAAGAGTGAACCTCTGGATGCAGCCGTCATCGAGGAAGAGCTGGAGGAGCTGCAGAGATACTGCCAGGAGGTCTTTGGACGAGTCGACAGATACTACAAGAAACTCACACGGCTGCCTGTGAGTAAAGATACATGATGACACATTTCAGGCTGCATGCAGAAATACTCCACGTCATCTCACAATAAAACAATATGTCTCTGGTGGAATTGCGCACTGAAACTCCAGTGTGTTAAAAAAGGTTTCATGTTTCTTGCTTGCAAAGAGGCACGTGGATCTAATTAGTAATGCTCAGACCATGTGCAGGGTTTTGCTAGTGTGTCACCTGACACACAAGTTACCACTTAATGTATTTATTGCAGACTGTGAACTGAGTGTAGACACTTCACTCAGTGAACTTAAAGTCTGCAGACACAGAATTGACACTACAGCTGTCCTCCTTCACCACTGGTGACATGGTGAAAACATGTGTCCAACATAGTTTCATGCTGACAGCTGCTAAGGAACAGAACACACACTCACACTGTTATACTTGCACAGTACAGCACACACGCTCACCTCACAGAACCCCACAAACTGCACTCACTCTATAGCACTCTTTCTTTACAATGGTTGACTCTCCGTTTTCGGTGTTATTTTGCATTTCTGTCATGGTTGCATTATTCTATCATATTTGTTTGCTGCTTCTCCTAATATTTCCCCATCCTTCTCTCCCAGCTGGCTGACGATGAGCTTGATGGTTCAGACAGAGAGCTGGACGTGGAGGAAGGTGGCGAGCTCTCTGAGCTACAATGGGGTGACTCATCTCTGCCCCGGACATCCAGCCGTCCAGCCTCAGGTACTGCCGCTCTCATCAGGGCAGATCGCTCAGGACGTGACACCCCCGCCAGCGTGGACTCCCTCCCCTTAGAGTGGGACCACGACTACGACCTGAGCAGAGGTCTGGACAGCCCTGGAGGACGAGGCCATGGGGAAAGAAGCCGAGGGCAAGAGGAGGAGGATGAGTATCTGAGGACAACTGCCACGGTGCTGTCAGGTTGGTTCAGCTGTACTGCTGTGTGATGGGTGATTGGCTTGATGGATGTTTGCTGATTTCCTGTGAATGAAACTAGAAGATGTTTTTGTAATGGGTTATTTTACAGGTCTGCATTTCCTCTAAGACATTTACTGAAAAGACCTACAAAACATGGTAGTTATTATAGGGAAACCTAGGGTTTGTATACTTTATATATGTTTCCAGAAGTAAATCAATAATGATTAATTTTGTTTAAACTTAGCAGCTTTGTCACAAAAATTAATTTAGAACCAGGGAACTTACTAGGTAATTATTAGGAAATTACAGACACATGAAGTGAAGTGTTACCAGTTTCCTATGATATGGGATCAAATTGAATGTATTTACAAATGCTAATAAGCTGTTTGAAAAAAATATATGATTGTATTAACAGTTACATGGCATCAACAGTCATGTGATTAATTGGTATGTTTTTTCAAATTATTATAATAGCCCTTTTTACACACAGACCCCCCAAAACTGCCACAACAAGCACATCATTACGCCAGTTTTGCTTTTTTACGCAGAACCAAACGTCGACATAATGCCACCCCAGTGTGTGGTTTTAGATAGCATGCCAGCATTCCAGACGCAAAAGAGATGTGTAACATAATCATTTTCCATCCCTATTCTTTTTCTTTGAATTAGCAGCTAACTGATGCTAGCTGCTTTTCAAATCTTGCGGTGGTTGGTAGTACACAAAACATGTTGTTAAAATGTCACACCCATCCTGTCCTGCTGGATGACACTATTAACACAGACATCGATTGGCACTGTTACTATCTCCACAGCAGGCCTAAAGGTGGAACAACTCTGTACCCTCATTCCATGTTTGCGCCTGTTTGTACCATTCCAGTGTTGAACAGGCAGTGTGAAAAAGGTTATAGTAATTGATTTGTTTTGAAGTAAGGATCTAGATTTAATAGAACTGATCTGATCTGAACTGATTTTAGTGATGACTAAATGATCATTGTTCCCCCTCAAGTATGGAAAACAACATGATTCTCAGTCTGCTACTATAAAAATTTAAATCACAGAGCAATAAATTATTATACAAACACATGTTTCAAGGTTTCCTGTACACTGGTTTGCTGTGGAAGTTGTCTTGAAAACAAGGCACCTATTGAATCTTCAAATTAGAGGAATCTCTCTGTTATTGCCATAGATCTTTTTCAAATATTAAATGAGCTCTGAGGTGAACAGAGCAGTGCCAACTCATTTCTAAATCATAATAGATTAGCACAGATATCACATTCAGTTGTGCCCACATTTTAAGCAGTGTATGTTGTATGTCTCTTCCCAGATGTAGTTATCCCAGAGAGCCCAGAGGCCTATATAAAACTGACAGAGAACACATTGAAATCATCCTCTGGTAGGAAACGGCAGCCCCCTGGTTCTGACACATAAGAGCATGCCATAAACTATGACTAAAACAAGCTTTATTAAATTTCACTACCACTCAGGAAGCATCATTCAGGTTGCATGTCCTGCCTCCCAGAAAAATCTTTGCATTTTATTAAGAGTGCAAAGATGACACCATTGCATGCTGAGGTCCAGATCACTAAAAGCTAATCTCAACCATTGCATTTTTATTTGTGTTTGTTTTTGTCATTTATTTTACAGCTAATATCGTTAACATCTTAAAAACTATGTTCTTGCAGTTATTTTGCATTTCCAACTAATGCATGTCATCACAGTATCAGTCTACACCAACAGCATGCAAAATTTCCCATCGAAAACTTTACTCTCCCAGTTTTCTTGACCCTGTCGTGGCCTCTGTGTAGGTGAGCCAGGTCAGCTGGAGGCCAGTCTCAGACAGCTGGATCAGGCTCTGGATGCAGGACGATACCACCTCCAGCAGAGAGAGGCCACCGCCAACCGCTCCAGCCCCGACATCGACTCCACATACATGGGCTACGTGAGTCCTGTTCATTTGTAGTGACGTTTGCTGTCTTAAATTGCATTTGCTGATGCACATGACATCATGCTGACACACTTAAAAGTCAATGTATAAACTTTTATTGTAAGCCAAAACATGCATATCATTTAACTGTCATGTCATCCCTGCAGATGCGTCTGATGGGAGAGTGTCGAGGCAGTATAGACGCAGTGAAGAGAGCAGAAGGAGAGCTAACTGAGGACGAGGATGACATGCCGGGACTCACCAACCCCACCAGCACAGACACGCAGAGCGCAGGTCAGTTACACACAGACACACATGTATCATGATAGGTCACCTTCCTTCTATAAAGACTGTGTGAGCTGTGTGAAACTGATGTGAATGTTTCCCTCCAGGTGTGATCGAGCGCTGGGAGCTAATCCAGGCTCAGTCTCTGAGTGAGAAGCACAGGCACAAGCAGAACCTGCAGCAGTGGCAGCAGCTGATCTCGGATCTGCAGACCATGAGGGCCTGGTTGGGTCAGTCTGAGGCTGAACTCAGCCAGCTGCGAGGGCTTGATCTCAGCACTGACATACACACCATCCAGCAAAGAATCAAGAAGCTCAAGGTTTGTTTGAGTTTTTATTGTGTTTTGTTAACAAAATGTACATTAATTTGTCAGCCAAAATCTCACTGCAGCAGAATAATCTAGCTTTTAGGAAGCTGTCATGAACTCCTACTGGCTTTCTGGCATTTGGAAGTTGCAATCATCATTTTTGCAGTATCAGTTATTTTTGTCATCCTTGGCTTGTGCATACTTATCTATGTCAGTCCGTCTCTGTACAGTGTATTTTCAGGACCTGCACATGAAGTACAGTTTATTCTGCAGTAATTTGACCCCACTAGCCTTGTTTATAATGTCCTACTTCACATGCAGGATGCTGACAATCTTGTCCTTCCACTCACCCTTACACACAAAAACACACATACTCACTCCTCAGTCCCGAGTCCAGCTGCCGCTGCCTGTAAAGCATTAGGCAAGATATCACTGTTCTATAAATACACCCCTTTAAAGCCTGATAATGTTCATCAAACTCAGCCTCGTCCTGCTGCACTCATGTCTATCAGCACCTCATGTATTCTCAGCACCCTCTTTCTAGTAGCGGCACAGTCTGGCTCAGTTTATGGTTCACCGTCATAAATAATCTACCTTCATGTAGATGTTGTTTTAAATACTTTCCTCTTTGACCCCTTACTTTAGGAGCTGCTGAAGGGGGTAGATGCCCACAAGTCAGAGGTGTTGTCCATCAACCTGAGCAGTGCAGACTTCCTCCAATCAGAGCCTGACTCTGAGGAGGCGTGGGAACTGAGGGACAGGCTGAAAGAGATGAACTCTCGCTGGGATCGGCTCAGTACCTCCCTGGAGGACTGGAGGAAAGAGCTACAGAGGGCGCTGATGCAGTGCCAGGTACGAAAACACACACATACTCCAGGAAAGTTCTTTGATTTTGTGTTGTGTTTTATATGTATGGCATACTATACTACTTTATACTTTATTACTAAACTTTTATTTACAAATTTTTCATGACTTTTTATGTCATGCTATACTATGACTTTATTTAAGCCATCTTTTATATTATACTGGACTATGAGTTTATTGATAACATTTTTAACATCTCACTATACTATGACTTTCTTTATGACTTTTTTAACATCATACTATACTATGACTTTTTTTCATGGTTTTGGACAACATACTATACTATGACTTTTTTTTCATGATTTTGAACGACATACTATACTATGACTTTTTTTGATGGTTTTGAATAACACACTATACTTTGACTTTTTTCATGGTTTTAGACGACATACTATACTATGACCTTTTTTTTTCATGATTTTGAATGACACACTATACTGTGACCTTTTTTTCATGATTTTGAACGACATACTATACTATGACCTTTTTTTTCATGATTTTGAACGACATACTATACTATGACTTTTTTTCATGATTTTGAACAACATACTATACTATGACCTTTTTTTCATGATTTTGGACGACATACTATACTATGACCTTTTTTTTCATGATTTTGAACAACATACTATACTATGACTTTTTTCATAATTTTGAATGACATACTATACTATGACTTTTTTTTTCATGATTTTGGACAACATACTATACTATGACTTTTTTCATGATTTTAAACAACATACTATACGATGACTTTTTTTCATGATTTTGAGCGACATACTATACTATGACTTTTTTTTCATGATTTTGGATGACATACTATACTATGACTTTTTTATGGTTTTGGACGACATACTATACTATGACTTTTTTTCATGATTTTGAGCAACATACTATACTATGACTTTTTTTCAGGATTTTGGACGACATACTATACTATGACTTGTTTTCATGATTTTGGACTACATACTACACTGACTTTTTTTTCCGTTGATTTTGGATGACATACTATACCATGAGTTTTTTTCAGGATTTTGGACGACATACTATACTATGACTTTTTTCATGATTTTGGACAACATACTATACTATGACTTTTTTCATGGTTTTGGACGACATACTATACTATGACTTTTTTCATGATTTTAAACAACATACTATACCATGACTTTTTTTATGGTTTTGGACGACATACTATACGATGACTTTTTTTCAGGATTTTGGACAACATACTATACTATGACTTTTTTATGGTTTTGGACGACATACTATACTATGACTTTTTTTCATGATTTTGAGCAACATACTATACTATGACTTTTTTTCAGGATTTTGGACGACATACTATACTATGACTTTTTTTCATGATTTTGAGCAACATACTATACTATGACTTTTTTTCAGGATTTTGGACGACATACTATACTATGACTTTTTTTCATGATTTTGGACTACATACTACACTGACTTTTTTTTCCATTGATTTTGGACGACATACTATACCATGAGTTTTTTTCATGATTTTGGACGACATACTATACTATGACTTTTTTCATGATTTTGGACAACATGCTATACTATGAGGATTTGTTTCATGATTTTGGATGACATTATACTATGACTTTTCTTTTTTTTCATAATTTTGAACAACATACTATCCTGTGACTTTTTTCATGATTTTGGACGACATACTATCCTTTGACCTTTTTTCATAATTTTGGATGACATACTATACTATAACTTGTTTTCATGATTTTGGACAACATACTACACTGACTTTTTTTTTTCGTTGAATTTGGACGACATACTATACCATGACTTTTTTTCATGATTTTGGACGACATACTATACTATGACTTTTTTATGGTTTTGGACGACATACTATACCATGACTTTTTTTCATGATTTTGAACAACATACTATACTATGACTTTTTTCATGATTTTGAACAACATACTATACTATGATTTTTTTCATGATTTTGGACAACATGCTATACTATGAGGATTTGTTTCATGATTTTAGACGACATACTATACTATGACTTTTTTTCAGGATTTTGAACAACATACTATACTATGACTTTTTTTCCAAGATTTTTAACAACATACTATACTATGACTTTTTTTCATGATTTCGGACGACATGCTATGCTATGACTTTTTTCATGATTTTGGACAACATGCTATACTATGAGGATTTGTTTCATGATTTTGGATGACATATTATACTATGACTTTTTTTCATAATTTTGGACAACATACTATACTACTACTGTTTTCATGATTTTGGACTACATACTACACTGACTTTTTTTTTTCGTTGATTTTGGACGACATACTATATTATGACTTTTTTTCCAAGATTTTTAACAACATACTATACTATGACCTTTTTTTTCACGATTTTGAATGACATACTATACTATGACTTTTTTATGGTTTTGGACAACATACTATACTATGACTTTTTTTTCATGATTTTGGATGACATACTATACTATGACTTTTTTATGGTTTTGGACGACATACTATACTATGACTTTTTTTCTTGATTCCGGATGTCATGCTATACTATGCCTTTTTTTTTCATCATTTTGGACGACATACTATACTATGACTTTTTTTTATGATTTTGGACTTCATACTACACTGACTTTTTTTTTTCGTTGATTTTGAACGACATACTATACCATGACTTTTTTTTCATGATTTTGGACGACATACTACACCAGGACATTTTTTCATGATTTCGGACGACATACTACTGTGATTGACCGAATAATATTGCATTGATACAATGGTCCAAAGAGTTATCACCAACTAACACTGGTAAGTTTTACTGTCTTACTATTGATGTATGCTATTTTTCCTTTTAGGAGTTCCATGAGATGAGCCATGGTCTGCTGCTGTGGCTGGAGAACATTGACCGTAGGAGAAACGAGGTGGTGCCCATCCCTCCCAAACTCGATCGTGAAACGTTACGAGCTCATCATAAAACACTGACGGTATGTCTCTCTAATACAAGGTCCAGCAGCGGACTTTGTTTTTTTCCAATCTCCTCTGTTACACCTTTTAATATTAATCACCATTAAGTAGGTGGATATTACAAACTCAGTAGTTCCCAAAGTGAGGTATAGACACCAAAGGGGTCTTGAGCATTAAGTGGAATTCTGATGTAATCTGTATTTACTCCCCTACCTAAAATAAATTCCAAGTGAGATCTGGAAACAGAAATCATATTAGATGGGTTCTTCTAGATAAAAGCTGGATGACAAATATTTACACTTTAATAACTTAACAAAAACAGGATTAGAAGAACAAAAATAAACAGTAAAATTAATAATCTGATAACAAATACAAATCTATGAATAACTTTAACAGTAAAATACATAAACAAATAATGACAAAGAATAAAAACACAAAAGCTGAGGAGATCTTTGTCTCCTAAAAATCCCACAAAAACTTGTCATTTAAGGTAAAGAAACATTGCACACACAAGACAAAGATGTTGAACGCGTCGCTGACTCCTCTGTCTTTTTTATTTTCCTGCAGCAAATCAAGCGTGAGCTGCTGGACTCGCAGCACAAAGTGTCGTCACTTCAGGAGCTGTCCGCTCAGCTGCTGGTCAACACTAAACCTCAGACTCTGTTGCCACAGTCGCAAGCCTCAGAGCAGATCCAGGCTCAGGGCAGCGAGTGTCTGGAGGCCGAAGAGAAGGTGCACGTGATCCTGAACAGGCTCAGACTGCTCCTGAGGGAAGTCAGCTCAGACCTGGAGGGGTTGGAGAGGAGACTGGAGGCCACAGACACACGGCAGGTCAGGAAGAGTGAATAAACAAGGGGTCACTATATGTTGAAATAACAAATATTCCTCTTCACTAAGCCTCTTTCACACATATTTTCCTGTAAATTACTCAGATAACCTTTTAGATGCTGCTAGTGATTTTTACTATTCACACATGCACTACATTCAGGAACATTTCAGTGTGTGCCTTTTCACACATGCCATGGCAATGCTGGAATAGAGCAAGGGACAGTCCAGCAGAAGGCAGTAATGCAACACATATGGATACCAACAGTCTTACAGCAAGGCAGGCGAGGAGATGTTTTTGTCTGGCGTTCTTGTAATGTATCTAACATTCAATCAGTTTGACAGAATGTAATGTAATGTTTTTCGTGATGTACTTAAATCAAACATGTCATCAGCGGAGTCTTGTTATTGGTTCGCTTGCTCCATGTGAAAGCGTCCTTCATCAGACAGACCAAACATAGCCCTTTATGTGCATGTCCCTGCGATGTTACTGCTTTTATTCATGACAGCCATACCAACATTTTCCCTGAAATATTTTTCGATCTTGAGGGGGACAGATTTCCTTGAATACTGAATATATGCTTCCACTCACGTGACCCCATGCAGGAAATGTTCCTGAACATTTCAGGGACAGTGTGCATGTGTGAAAGGGGCTTTAGTAGTAGTTTTATTTAGATCTAAACATGTTAGTGACTGTTTTTGATTTATGTTTCAGGATTGCTTACCAGTGCCTGTTGGCAAACCAGAAACCCTTGGATCAGCTGCTCCTGAGTCAGCGGTGACTGTCCAAAGTCGCAAACGATTGGTAATGGTTTGTTTCCCTCATAATGTCCAGTAAGGGGGGGGGGGGGGGGGGGGGGGGGGGGCTAGCCTCCATGCTTGATAATAATCAACAAAATAACATCACAGTCAACCTACTTTCTCCCTTTTGTTCCCTATAAGACAGCTCATAGATATTGCCACTCTACCACCCCATTATTTTTGTCATTAATATAAATGTTATCCCTTTTTTAATAGCTCTGCTAACATGTACATGAAAATATTTGTTGCTGCCCCCCCTCCCCTCTCCCTTGAGATGTTTTTGCTGCCCACACCATGTTGATCTGCCAAAAATGTACAAGAAAACCTGGCTTTTCGTTTCACTTGATAAAACTGTTCTGTAGTCCAGCTCTCATTTGGAAATCCATGTATTGGAGAAATTATAGTTTTTCTGTTTAATCATAATGTAACTAATAGTTAAATATATTTTAATTTTTGTCATTTTCTCGTCAGGATTTAGTCTTGAGAAGCCAGATTTCTTGGTTCTGAAAGTCAATCACCGTCATTAATTATGTTGCTGCTCTTAAGTTGTTGATGATCCTTCTCTAGCAATGTTATGGCTCCTTATGTTATTTGTTTTCTCTCTCATCTGAAGCTTTGTCTTTATTTGCCCTTGACTGAAACATTCTTTTCTTTCTTTTACCCCTCCCTGCTCATTGCGTGGTACAGCCCCGAGGCAAAAGTAGTCAGGCCCACCCAGGACACCCTGAGAGCGGCCCGCGCCACAGGTACCTCTCTCCTGGACTCTAGAAACACGGGATGATGATGGAACCAAAGCTACGCCTGACTAGAAACCTGATTTTCATTCATTCATTCAACCCATGAGAGAATCAATCATATTCATCATATTTCACAGAAAAGATAATGAGATCATTCAGATTTTTGATTGATTGGTTTAAATTGATTGGTTTGAAGGCTTTAACCCTGCGTTCCATGATCCTCCCTTATCCTAGAGACCATGTTACCAGCTCTTAAACGAGTGGGGAATCGCCTACATCAGGCTGCTCCCTTCCTCCTTTAAATGTTTTATTTCACTGCTTCTGTTTGCCCTGCTGCTTTTTGAATGGCATCATGAAATATTGCCCTGTCATACATTTTGCTTCCCTTCTCTGAGTGACTGTAGCACTCTCCTCGCCCACTAGATGGCGTTATGTCTACCCCAGTGACCCCCCTCAGCCCTCTAGCTGTTTTTCTTTCTCATGTTTCCTTCCCGTTTCATTCTCTTCATAGTTGAAAGCAGGACATGATGCAATAACTCCTGCGTTTTTTCCCTTCTACCTTAACTCCCACTTTCTTTCCTATGTTTCCTTTCCAGACCTCTTAACTCACCCACTTTTGTCATTTCTGATTTAACTTTCTATGATTTCCATTAAATGCCAGCAATAACACACAGGCCTGGTGAAGACTCAGCCTAAACTAGTCTTGCCATGAGTGTTGTAGCAGAAATAATGTCTTTGTTTCCCCCTGATAGCATCCTTTATATGAGAAGCAGGGACTCTCTATCACATATTAATGGGCTGTGGAAACTGAAATCCAGCAAAGCAGGTGTTACCATGCTTAACGTGTATAGAAACACACGTGCTCACAGCAGCTGTATGTAGCATCTTGGAGGACTATTTGACTAAATGAAATTGGCAGGCTACAGAGCAGGAGGCTGGAGGAGTGTCAGCATGTCTGACCCTCCTCCAGCCTCCTGGAGGATGCGTTGCTTTAAGAACATGCTGTTCCCCCCCTCGAGTCTTGGCGCTAACCGTGGAAATCTCCAGAGAGGCATTTGGTATTTCTCCGGCATCTGTTTGGAATGAGACGTGGCATTGAACTCTCACACACTCGGTCCTAAAGCCAGAGCGTTTCCCCCCCCAGCAAGACTCAGCTGGCTATCTACGAATGCTTGTGGTTTTCTGTGTGTGTTTGTGCCTGTTTTGTGTGCATATGTAGGTCTACTGTACATGTGTGTCACTGTGTCTAACTTTGTGATACTCACGATTTCTCTAACTCTTCAATATGGATCTATCTGCTGCATATTTGTATTTTTGCCTTTCTTCCTGTTGAATGTTTGTCAAGTCCTTATTCTTTTGCCAGACATGGGTAAAATAGTATTTGCAAAAACGTTTGTTTTAACCTGTTTGAAATATCAGGATTACCAGATTTACTGTAACAAAAAATTATTTTCCATTGTCATAATAGTGAAAAATGCCCTTCACAATTCTCTAAAGCCCAGTGTGATGTTTTCAAATATCTTCTTTTGTCCAACCAGCAGTTCAAAACCTGAAGAGATTTTATTTACAATTATATAAAACACAAAAAGCTGCAATTCTCATATTTCAGAAGCTGAACTTTTAGCTTGAAACATGACTTAAAAGATTAATCAAATATCAAAAGAGTTGATTAGTTTTATGTTGATTGTTCAGCTTCAATTCGAAATCAAACAATTTAACAACATGCTCAAAAAAAAAAAAAAAAATAATTGGGCTTCAAATGCTTTTCATTGATTGTATTAACTTTCTGGTTCTTACATGGTCAGTAAACCACATCCCAAGTACCAAAGTCAAAACTGAAAAATAATTCTGGTGGACTATAAACACTCTTAGCTTGACAATCATGTGTTTCTGATTCATGATTTGTATATCAGTTACTCACCTCATGTTATGTTGAATCCGTTTTTCTTGCATGCCTCCCAGTGAACGAAGAATCCAAAAAAGGCAAACATTCTTCATGAACTGAAGTGAATGGGGCCATGTTTAATTGATATAGTTTTTCTGTTAAACGCAATCAGTTTACAAACTCTTACACTATCCAGTTGTCTGCTTAGTACTTCCCAAACATTTTTGTCATGGGCACGTAGGCAGAAGTATTTAATATTGTAACATTTAGTGAAAATGCATGTGTTTGGGAACCACTAAGCTACCCGAGTTGTGCGAGTTTGTTAACAGATGTTTTAATAGTTTTGCTGTTGTTAAACATGGACCCCCTTTTACTTAAATTCATGAGGAATGTTGGCCTTTTTTGGATTCTTTGTACACAACGGAGGCATGTGAGAAAAACAAAGTTTTCTTCACAAATTAAAAGTAACACGGGGTGAGTACTTGATAAACAAATTGGTGCGTAAAGTAATGTTGAGGCATTTTCCACTAAATAGACGAGCACACAAAACTTCAGTTAGAACCAAATTAAAAAGCTTTCAAGGAGTTTTGACAAAGCATTATTTGCAAATACTAGTGAGCTCAGGTCTGTTCTCTGCTGTGTTTAACTTAACTCTGTCCTCTCACAGCCGGAGCAGATCACCAGGCGCCGCTGGCTGCGTTTCCTCCCGTTCTGACCTTCCGGACGGCGTCTCCTTACCGACCTCCTCCTCCTCCAAAGGCCAGTCCTTCCTGCTGCGGGTCCTCAGGGCTGCGCTTCCCGTCCAGCTGCTCCTCCTGCTCCTCATTGGCCTGGCCTGCCTGGTGCCCATGACAGAGGAGGACTACAGCTGCCACCATGCCAACAACTTTGCCCGCTCCTTCCATCCCATGCTGCGCTATACCAACGGACCTCCGCCCATATGAGACGTAGTTGAATATCTACCTACTGCTTTGCCAAGGACTCCACTGAATGTTTCCTCTTCACCCTGTGCCCTGAAGCAACAAACTCTCTCTCACATGAAAATGAAGACTTGTCTCACTAACATTGCACACTCACTCTCCTGAAACCCTTTAAACCCACTCTCCAGAACAAATGGACCTTCGTCTGGACCCCCTCTCCCCCAATCTAAATACTTCATGTTGTTTTAACTTAAATGTGTATATTATTTTTTAAGGTTTCTGAAGGAACCGGAGAAATCAATGAAAACAAAGCACTATTTATATACTGTATGTTGGGAGCCAAAGTCGAACGTGCTTTTTGTCCATGATACCCAGTGCTGCTACTATTTATTTAGCGTTCAATCAGATAATTGATTGTTGATTTTGATTAAGCTAAAGGACCACCCTAAGTGTGGCATATTGTACCTGTAAATTGTACAGTAGATTTGCAGTTTGAGTAGCAATCATTCACAGTCTCAGATGTGAAGAGTTTGTTTCTGACAGACACATTTAAAGATCTACTCAGACGACTGAAACAGAACTTTCTGAAGGATGAACGTTGTGTTTTAGCTTGTCACATCTTAGAATAAATTGGAAATGAAGTCTCCAGATGACATTAAAGCTAAAATCTGAACATATAGCACTGACATGAGCACTGTCGAAGGTACTGCACTGAAGCCGTCCAGCCAAGATGGCCGACTTCTTTCCCCAAAAGCTAAGGCTTGTATTCCTGTTTTTAATTTCAGTATTTAATCAGCTGAGGGCAAATATGAAAAAAAGATATGAGCTCTCGACTGATTTGTATATTTTTGTTGAAATGCCTTTGAATACAGGCAGTTATTTTTTTATCTTTCCGTTTGAGCATGCACTTGAAAGTACACTGCTTTTAAGAAAGCCAAACAATCACTGGTAGTGTTTTAGTAGACGGCTGCGACATGAAATAGTGAGCTTTGTAATAACTGCGATAATTATTCTGCGGTGACGAGACATCGGAATCACTGCGTTGTTAAAACAGAATCTGTAAAAAATGATGAAATATGAAAATGGTTATTTATGTATGTACAGTTTGCTAATGCCAACTTCATGAAGAATACTCTCTTTGCAAAAAATAAAACATGAAATATTTACCTGTGTGTATTCTTGGACATGATTTGAACAGAGAAGAAACACGGTGATGACAAATATTTTCCTGAATGAATGCTTTTATTTTTATACACAGTAACAAATGACATTCAGTTCAAGTTTGACTGGACTGACACTGAACGGCTCAAGAGGCCAAATCTGTTGGGGTTTTTTTTTAAATCCTGTATGGAGGCTTGAATTATGCTGTGCAGGTTGTGTGAGAGTTTATAAATGGATGTTCTGATATAATTTTTCTATTCTTAATCGAGGACCCCAATTACTTCAATTTACGAAAAATGTTTGCCTCTTTTGGATTTTTCATTCACTGTGACTTCATGACCGGTGAGTAACTGATGTTTTTTTTTTTTTAATAAAGATATTTTTTGGGGCATTTTTTGCCTTTAATTGATAGGATAGTGAAGTGTGAAGGGGGGAGAGAGAGGGGGAGCGACATGCAGCAAAGGGCCTCAGGCTGGAGTCGAGCCCGGGCCGCTGCGGCAACAGCCTTGTACATGGGGCGCCTGCTCTACCACTAAGCCACCGACACTCCTGAAGTATTCTTTTAAAACTTCACTGTAATGTCATATCTTTTCTACCCTGGCAACACATTTTCATTGCCTGTATATTTGTAAGTACGAGTTAGTCACTTTTCAAGCACAAATGTCAAATGTTCCCCGGTAACAGCTATTTCAGTTTTTGCCTCAACACACCAAGGATTTTTATGCCTTTCTTTGTGGTATGTCATCACAAACTGAATAGATTTGGGATTTAGATTGTTGGTTGGACAGTTAAAACTTTGAATATGTCACTCTGGGCTCTGGTGACATTTCTCACTATTTTCTAACATTTAATGAAGCAAATCAATTAAATGAGTACTTAGCAGTGTTTAGCAGCTAATTAAGGAAACACCTGATCATATCCGAATCAGATATCTTCTTTACAATCAGACCAAGTTTGGTCCATTCAAACAGAAATAAAAACACCTGCATAAGTGCACATATGTTATGATAATTAGGTTTTTTGGGAGGTGTGTAAATCCAGCCAAACTTAACATGTAATCACTGAATTAGTGGATGAACAGTAACCGGTTGACAACTGCATCAAGACAAAAATCTACGCTTAAAATCAGCTTGGTGAGGCTCACAGCTCATTGGCTGGGATTTCTCTCACTCTCTCTCTCACAGTTGCTTTGCCACACACACGCACGCACACACATGAAAGTTAACTTTGGTGCAAGTAAGCATAAAGAACAACCTACTATACACAAAAAGCTGACAACAGGATGAAGTTCCCCAACAATAAAGACTGGCTTCCTTCATCATGTAATCAGCGCTCTGGGATTTAATCGTGCAATTTTTAGCTATTCAGAATTCAACAGATATTTCCTCAGCCACTGTTCATTTCATAATTACGTCACTGAAATCATTTTTTTCTCCTAATACTACATGTGTGCAAGAGACACGATACCTGATGTTTTTGTCTTTGTTGAAATTTGAACACAAAATAAATTACACATTCATTTGAACCAGTTTTATCATATTTTAGCGAATAATCAGCCTTAATATGTAAAAGTTACTATAATGCCCAATAGCCCCCTAAACCCAAGAGGAAGTGCACTTTGGTCGAGGCGAATGAAAAGACAATTAGCTGCTCATCATTTCAAATCACTGTAGCTGACAGAGCGCCACAATATGAGCTGCTGACGTCTGTAAATAATAAGCTGTACTGTAAAGCTGGCAGAGACTGACAGAAAACGCAGCACAAGGAAAATTTCTCCCAAACAACTACAACTATAAAATTACTTAATTCATAAATAATTATCTCATGAAATGAATTCAAATACAACTTTTATATTTCATTCCCAAACCCCTCTCATTCTGTACGACACACATCCCCCATAAAAATGACTTTTGACCCTCAGATGTTGCCGTCTCATAGGATGTGGGTGCAGTCAGAGCGGGACCCACCATACTGCAGGACTGTGGGCGCTCTGCTCGGGCTCTGGTGGCTGACTCGGGATCCTGAACTGGAACCAGCTGAAGAAGAGGAACCACCGCTGCTGCTGGTGCTGGTGGTGGAGGGAGGTTCTCCATCAGCCTGGGACCAGGTCTGACCTGATTTCTCAGGGCGTTGGATGCGGTGAGCATCCAGCATCTCCAGCAGCAGGTCGTACAGAGGCACTTTGTTCTTGCACTTCATGCTGTAGAGATGCTCCATGCCTTTGTTGCTGCAGGGAGTGTAAACAAAAAGGAGACGGAGTTCATGAATCAGTCGGTCGATGAGGGAGGCTACAGGCTGCTTTCTACATCCCTGAAGGTGCTGCACAGTTTTTGTAGTTTTGTTAATACCTTCTGGAAAACATACTTCCATTATTCTCAAGCAAACTAACTTATTTTGATTTTATTTATGCACTAACTTTTCAGTGCTTTGCTCTTCATTTGCTTTTTCTTCAATAATGTATTTATTGCTCAGGTTTTTATTCACTTCTCTCTTCAGAGAATTATCTTGATTCACAATTTTTCACTAAATAAATGACTTACTGTAGTCTATATACTGTAATATACTTTATATAATCTACGAACATCACAGAATAAAATATAGTCAGGAGATGAGACAAAGCATCTGCCTGACTTTTACAGATGATTCATGCTAAAACCAGCTCACCTTTAAAAGAGACAATTACATTTTTAAAAAAGACCCAAACCCTTTAAAGCATTCATCTTTGAAGTTCCTACCACCTCAAAGAACCCCTGTGGATTACTGAAGCATGAGGTCTCAGCAGAACATGTTGAAAGACTTTTAATGTGTTAAAAATAAGAAACCTTTTTTCAATTTCACCTCATGTGCCTGATGTGTGAGAGCAGAAGCAGCAGCTGGGCCTGCCGTCTCGACTGCTGCTGAACCGAGCATCCCGACTGGCTGATATGATGTATGAGAGCATCTGTGATGGTGTCCAGCATGTTCTGCACCGCTGTGGTGTCGTGGAGGGGCTCCATTGTGCCGGTGCAGAAAGAGAAGGTACCTGACAGAGGAAATACATCAGCTCACTGCAAATTTTTCCATCTAATGGAGTTTTCTGTTGTTAAACGCAAACTTAAGACAGCATAACACACCTCAGACAGACATGTTCGTGCAATGTGATAAAACTCAACGTGCGACAGATTCAAGCTAAAAACAACAACAACAAACATGATTTGACCTTGATAAGAGATCTGACTCACACATGCATATATGAGCAGAGCATTAATTGCAGAAGCACTATTGCCCACACAGCAATCAAAACATTCATCCGGCTCTGGCAGCTGTGCCAGTAGTGTCATCACAATGGTATTTCAGTCTCCTCAGTTTCCCATATAGAATATCTCAATCTCCGGGACAAACACAGCCCTCTGTGCTGCCTCATGTTGTCATGGGAACAGTTATTGGGCATATTGGCGGTACAGGCCTTTCCAGAACACTCTGTTCACCTAATGTGCCTGAGCAACGTTAAGAGCTACACCTCTGTGGGTGTAGATTGACACTGGTTAATATTTACTCTCGGGAACAGAAACTGAAACCTGCGACACAGCGGCATGCCTGCAAGCAAAACTGCAATTAAAACATTAAGATAGAGAGCTTATGTTTTCATTAGGGAAGTGTCTCAGTTGACCAAAGTGTTTCCAGGCATCTGTTTCTCTGAAAAAACATGTTGCCTCACCAGAGTTGAGCAAGATGATGGCTTTGAGACAGACAAACTCCTCGGGTTTGAGTTTGAGCAAGCGGAAGCGGGAGGCAGTGGCCAGCAGCATGTCAAAGATCTCAGCCATGCCTTCGACACAGTTGCCTTCGGTCCTGGAGAGCACAATGAATGAAAACAAGACGGTTTAGTTTGGATTTCTCTGAAGTCACACATAAATAAATCTGATTTTAATACAACACTTAAGTCAAAGTACATTTGACAGAGACAGAGAACAAGTTCTGAGCTGCAGTGCACCATCAGTAGAAAAAAAAATCTGACTTAAACTGTGACCATGAAGCTATCCAAAGAGCGGCCAGATAAACAACTAATGGACTGAATCACTGAGACGCTCCATTTCTCAGCACAGTTGAAAAGTGATGGAAAGACAGATAATATCCAGTGGTTGAAGTGCAAGATAAACTTGGACAGCACAGAGCCAAGGGAATTTATCAACCCTGACCTACAGCATTTTAGTCATCATGTCCAATTGGTGAGGACACTTACACAGGGACCAGGTTTTAGAGATAATACTCCGTAATACACTTTTGAATCAAATGGGACCATCAGACACATCACAGGGTAAAAGCTCTGCCTGTCTGCGTGCTTCTCTCTCTCTCTCTCTCTCTCTCTCTCTCTTTCTCTCTCTTTCTCTCTCTCTCTCATAGATACTGTGGTTTGTTTACTTTGAACATGGGGAAATGGAGGGAACAGGCTGTGCCTGCAAAGCAGAAAACAGCCATGTCTCATGTCTCCCTGCATCTCTATTTTTTTGGTTCTCTCTGTTCATCATTTGGCTCCCTCTCCTCTGCCTCCTTCTCTCGTCATCGTTCTTCCTTTTCCATCATTCCTTGCATTGAGTCTTTGATTAAATCTCTTCCCTGGTTGCAAACTCAGCACTGTAATGATGAGGGAGAATTTCAGGTGAGAGAGAGGCTGCACTCCTCTCCATGGGGAACATGTAATTAGTCTTTCACTCCATGGCGGATGAGTTTGTGTCACACAATGGCTGGAAAGGTGTGAAATGGAAAATCTACAATGCTGATGTATCACTCTTAAGATGTGTGTGAGAGTGGGAGATAGGTAGAGAAATAAGGAGGAGGAACCAAGAAATGGAAAAAGTAGAGAAAGATGCATGTCACAGAGAAGTCAGGTAAGTTTTCCTGGCTACCTATCCAGTATGAGGTCCTGGGCAAAGATGAGTTTGCCAGGGCAGTGGATGGACCTCCAGATGAGCCCGATCATCAGCACCTCCAGCCAGGAGCTCTCCAGCAGCTGCACCTGGTCATGGAGGCCGAGCTGCAGGAAACCTACAAAAACACACACAAAGTGCATTTTAACAAGCTTTTCTGTGAACGAATCAAGGTGATCAACTCAGTGAGAAGAGAGTTAGACTTTTTAGAGTTTTGAACAGCTGTCTCGAAGGGATATCAGCTCTTTGACTAACAACCTCTCAAGCAGGGCTGCATCTAATGATTATTTTCATTTTAACTTTCTCGATTAACCATTTGGTTTATAACATGTCCATCCCATTTTCTCATAGTCCAAGGTCATGTCTTTAAATGTTTTGTCAGTCCACAGCCCAAAGATATTCAGTTTAGTATGTGCTGCAATTGCTGCACAATTTCCCTCGGGATGAATAAAGTTCTATCTTATCTCATTTAATCTTAATTAAAATAGAGGAAAAATAGGAAATCAACATTTCTTAAAAGCTTTTCCTGCCATTTTTGCATGAAAAATAATTCTAACTATTAATCAATTAGAGCAGATGATGATGATGGTGGTTAGCACTGTCACCTCACAGCGACAAAGAGGGTTCCAGGTATAAAATGTTCTCCCCTTGTCAGTGTGTGTTACTGTGGGTTCTCCAGCTTCCTCCCACAGTCCAAAGACATGCAGGTTTAGGTGACTCTAAACTGCCCATAGGTGTGAAGGTGAGTGTGAATGGTTGTCTGTCTCAGCACTGTCTGGCGACATGTCCAGGGTGTACCCTGCCTCTCGCCTAGTGTCAGCTAGGATAAGCTCCAGCCCCCCCGCAACCTTCAAAATAGTATGAGATTATTTTTCTGTTGATGAACGAATTAATTAGTCTAATCGTTGCAGATCTACTCACTGGTTAAGACAGTATAATTATCAGTAAAAACACCAGATGTGTTTCATCCTGATCATAGCAATTATTTAGAAGACCAAACACAAACAAAAGAAGCTGGTGTCAGTAAGTGTTGTTGTATCAGTGCTGATTACATGGGGCGGGGGGTGTTAAGTGCAGCATGGTGTGGAATATTAACACTCCCAGAGTTAAATGTTTTCTGTGCACCTTCATCCCACTCATAAAAATAAAAAAATGCAAGCCCCCTGTCTTCTGGCAGGGAATTGCTACTTAAATAAAACCATCTGCAATCTCTCTGCTCTCATACGAAGCCTTATCGCTGGCACTCAGCTGTTTCAATTCATATGTAATTACAGCCAATTCACTCCCATTGTACCCTGTTTGGGACCCCTCACAATTAAAACTGTGTGCCTTTGGGCTTTTAGTGACGCACAGGGTGGTAATACCTCAAAATCAGGATTTACTCACTTGGGGAGCTTGTGTGTGTGTGTCTGTGTGTGTATGCAAAAGGGTGATGTGTCCAATGCTGCATTTAGGCTCTATGGGGTGCCAGAAGATTGGCCAAACAATCCTCTCAAAGGTGATGACTGTAATAACCATCGCTGTAATGGCTCTGCATTTATGTGTGTGTGCCTCCACTATAAAAGGTCTCCCATCACTTTGCTGTTTCCTAAGCACTCAAACTGAGGCCCGAAATCCTTGTCACACAGCACAACTGTACATTTGGATGTTTAAGAAAGACTCTGTTTCCAAGCTTTTGGCACTACAGCTAATTTTGGACAATATGCGCGCACATATGTTACTACTGGGCAAGTATCTTTCTGATATCTATCTAAGTAAGAATTGTATTAAACCAGGCAGTTATTGTTCCGGCCAAAAGACTTGATAATGTTAGTGAATCTGGAGAAAATTACGTTTGCACTGATGCTGCGTTCACATCGTCAGGATGACAGTGGATGACAAACTGTCATTTTAGTGGACAGTAAAATTAGGTGACCGACAATGATAACCATAGAGGGCATTGCCGTCTAAAGTTAAAATATTTTAATTCTTTGCCACCTTGCCACCTCCTTCACACAAGGCAAAAACGGGTGATCTAAAAACTCAATATAATTTATTTGATATATTTAATTCCATTCATTTTAGAGTCCTACCCTTCTATCAGACTGTTTTCCCTGTGTCGTCCAGAAAGTGTTGTCCGTCTGCCCTCTGTCTGATTCCATGTGAACGCAGCATGAGAGGCTTTTATTTCATTTGGAGTCTTACGATTCAACACATTTATGATCTTAAGAGTGATCCCGGCAGTTTGTGAAGAAAGACATTTATTAACTTTCTTTGTTTTTTATGCTTTCAGTAACAGTGGCAGTGGCAGTGGGACAAAGAGGCCTGTTAAATAAAATACATATATTATTGATCTTTGGTCTGGATTCAATACAACTTTGAATTTGTTCAATAAACTTTTGTTTTACATATTGGCTGAGAAAATATCACACATGCAGGAAAAGCAAATGAGTTGTAGTTGTCCTCTCACAATCTACAGAAGAGCTGCTACTGTTCTGACAAGGGGCCTCATTACAGAAAAATATACTAATTGGTTGTTGTAGCTGTTCCACCAAAAATTAGCATGTCTGCAGGTGTTTTTAAACGTGAGAGTTTTAATGTTTAAAACATTTCGTCTTACAAATAAACTAGAGCTGTGTCTCTGCAGTAGACGAGCATGCCTTTCTGTTTTTTTTTTTACTTTTGTCATGTTTGACGTCAGGAACGAACTGGAAAACCGGTTAGTTAACAGTAGAAAGCAAGCAGAAACTGCATATTTAATTACATGATGAAGTTTCAGGAAACTTAAATAAATAAAAATAAATAATGTATAATAATAATAATAATAATAATTATGTAGGTAATTAACTGAGGAAGTTACATGGTGAAAACTGTAATTTCTTTATTCTTATTTTTTTGTCTAAAAATTTATGGAATTTTACAATAAATATCTATAAGGGCCTTTTTCTCAGACAAAAATCTTCACTTCAGTAGCATTAACATACACCAAACCTACCAGTTTTATTTATATTCTGAAGGTTTTTACTGAGGGGTTTGTTCATAAATCATCCATAGCCTCATTTTGTGCTAAATACATGTCAAAAATGTATATATGTGTATGTATATCCTTAAAAAATGGGTCTGGAAAACATACTGCATTATACAGTCAATATGAGATAGTTTGTACTGCTGAAAAACAACTAAGTATTTACTGGTGGTGTGACTACCACTAAGTAGTACCTGGAAGCTTCTTGGCCCAGGTGATCATGTGGACCAGCTCCTTATCGGCCATGCTGGTGAGCAGGGTCATCATGGTGACCTCGGTGTAGGGTCGGCTCAGCTTCTGACGAGAGCACAGTATGGGAGGCTCGGCACCCTGGAGCAGGAGGAGCACCTGGGAAACAGCAGAGAAACAGAAAACTATAAGCTGCTGTGCTTCAAACTGATTTAAAGCAAATACAAACATCGCTCAACATCCACTTGCTACATTGCCAGAATTTGGTATGAACGTACGAATATTTATGAACCTGGAAAATGATTCCTAATATTTATTTCAGATTCAAATTTTAATCCTGGAAAACAATTTGCACCACAATAAGGTTAAGTACCTGGTCAGGAGGCATGCCAAGCAGCAGTGATTTTCCTTCTTCACCATAGGCACTGCTGTGTTTCCTCCCGTCCTGAGGGGGCACTGTCCTATGCTCCAGGTCCTTAGAGGCCTTGTCCCTGCCACAGGTGCCAGTCCGTCGTTTGTCACGCCGCAAAACACGCCCGCGGTCCTTACGCACACCTGAAGCACACACCAGGGAGTTTAACACAAAATAACACACAAAAAAAAACCCACAAACATCCATACACACAGCGGCATACAAACTCATCAGGCTTCATCGCTCACACGCAACTTCACACCCTGTTTCTACGACAAAGTCCAGCAATGCAGATTCTATGGATGCCTGTGTGATTTAAGAAGTATGAAAACAAAAATGTGGGTGGGTTTTAATCAGTGGCTGTACTCCTTGAGAGGAAATCACTTCAAGGTCACGTTAAAGTTAGTCTCAAGCTTATCTGCATCCACCAGCACTCTCATATTTGTGCCAATCCTCTCAGCAACAAGCTTGATAGAGGCTATTAGTTTTGGAATTTGTTACAATGTGAGCGATCAAATAAGGTAAACAATACACAGAAGAGCTAAATTGTGCAAACAGAAAAATAAATAAAACAATTTAACCAAAAATGAAACAAGTAAAAACAGGATAACCAATAATAATGCAACCGAATTTAGACAGCAAATTGCAAAAAAACATCATGTAAAATAAAGCAAATTCTTTTAAAAAAGACAGGTCTTGGAAAAGATGGGAAGTCTGCTGTCTGCTGGTGTTACCTCCTTTCATCATGCCCACTTCGTAACACTTCCTAAGACGGCATGCCTGGCAGCTCTTCCTCCGATTCCTGTCAATAGTGCACTGATTGGTTGCTGGGCACATATAGTCATTGTGACCTGAAATGGAAAAAAAAAAATCTATTACTTCAAGCCCCCTGACTCCAGTGTTCAGCTCAGATTTATGTTATTTAGTAAGGAGCCGGGAACACGCTATTCCCATTTTAAATGGATCTGAGATGTAGAAAATTAAAACGTGGCATCTTGGCTTTGTCATTGTCATGGAGACTATTGGTTTCTTTATCAGACCAGTCTTCCATTGCAATGTGCTGAAGCATCATGTCACCAACATGACTAAGCCACACGGCAGATGAAGTTTTTACTTGTGCACAGAGGCAGCAGAACACGGAGGTTATATGACATGTTGCATGAAAGACATGAGAAGCAAACAGAGGAAAAATGTTTGAGTGAAAACAGAAATTTAAACTCAGCTCCTTTACATTAAAATCTGTTTCAGAACGTCGCAATTTATGACGTATTTTCACTTCTTTTCTCCTTTTTGAAGCTCCACTTTGACTGCTTATTTCTCTGCTAAGGTTTAAGGCAGTCATGACGATGTCTACGATACACTTTCTCAGAAATAGCTGCAATGGACATTATTGTCATTTTAAACCATCTTATGCCACTGATGTGATAATATATCATAATAATGCAAATACTAATTCTTAAGCAGTGTATTTAAATGACAAAATGTAATTGTAATCAGTTATAGTTACTGAGAAAACAGATCAAAATGCCGTTGACACAAAGGCGTTACATCTGAACTTATTCTTTTAGGTTTATATGTAGAATTTGATATTCATTCTGTTGCTTTGCATTTATTCACAGTGCAGAAATACCTTTTTTTGGTAAAGCTTTGTTCCATACATTTTCGGCTTTATTGCCCTGTTTAAAACATTTTTAGAAAAGTAATCAAAAAATATTTAAATGTAATAAGTAACAATACTTTGATGAAGTAATTAAAATAGTCCCATCACTTATTTCACTTTAACAAGATAACTAGTAATCTGCAACCTGTTACTTTTCAAAAGTAACCTTCCAGATTGGTAGAAAAAGATTTCCACACACTTACATCTACGCAGTGTCTCACTTTATTGCTGAGCTTTCGGTCAACCTTCATCAGAGCATACATGAGGCAACAATGGACAAGCTGATCAAAGTAACCATTCTCAGTCTTATCACCGGCTGTATGCAATACACCTGTGTGTGTAACTCTGGTGGTAGGAGCTCCACCTTCTGGGAGTTGTAGTTTTTTTTAAATACTGGATGTAAAGCAAAAAAGTAACCTTCCAGACACTGTAGGAATATTCTCAAAGTGAAATACAAGAAAATAAATGCTAATTAAGTGAAATACATAGCAACATCAATACAAAGAGTTGGCAAAAAAGTTGGCAAAAGTTGGCCAACGTTCCACTGTCAACCTTTTCTGCACCAAGAGGAAGTAAACTTAAGGAAGGAAGTACATGGTTGCTAACCATACTCATATTATTTCCCCTTAACATGTTGAATAAACAATATTTTACTGTTGTTCCTCCACATTTTCTTAGTCTCTTTTATAAATTAAAACCTAAATTACTTGAAAAACTTAAATAAGTTAATTTTCACTGCGTCTGCACAGCCTTGCTTATTCACTGTGTCTATGGAAACGACTGTGAATGCAGCCATAATGGATTCCTTACACAGAAATGGTAGTCTGTTTATTTTTCTGATAACTGCATCACTGCATAACTCATAAATGTTCAGACAAGTTTCATATTTTGTTATTTCTGATGCTATGTGTATGTGCAATCAAAGATATTTCCCAGTTTTCTTTCAGACTAATCTGGTTGCAGATGTCCAGATTTGGTGCAGTTATAAGGCACCTGGGGAAGAGCTATGAATTCTGGATTGTGCATTTTAGAAAACAGAATAGGGGCAATAGTCTGGAAACACAAACATTTTTCCATACTCTCTTCTCTTTTATCCATACTTATCCAGACCTGGAAATCACTAAAAATCAAATTCCATACTTTTCCATACTGCGTGGGAACCCTGATATCAATTCTGATTTTAATACTAGTTTTCTGTTTACTACAACCCTTGTGCTCTACTGTGCTACTTAGCAAGAAATTAAAAGTTGGTGTTGTCATATAAGAGCCTTGTTTAGCCTAATTTTACTTGTATGTCCTCAATACTAATTTCCCCATGTGTTATCAGAAGTTCTATTAAATATCAATATTTGATCAAAGTAAGAAATTCCAGTGATATGACAACACTAAAGCAGACAGGTTACCTACCCTGAATGCTCCTCTTAAAGAAGGCCTTGCAGCCCTCACAAGACCACACCCCATAGTGGTACCCAGAGGCATAGTCACTGCACACGGCACAGAAACGCGTCTCTTTTGTCATCTCAAACCCCACGGCCCTGGCTCCAGCCCCCGACTCCCCCATACTGTATGCCTCGTCACTGGTGCCGCACTGGTCCTCCCTGGAAACTGGCTGCTGACTGGATGGGCCACTGGACCTACAGCAGGATGTGGATTTTGGCTCTGTTAAATTATGTCACGTATTGTGCATTTGCAATAAAATAAAACAGGACTACTCCAACAAATGTCTTTGATCATAAAAAGTTGGAGCCAGCAACACCTAATAACAATTCAAACATTTACCACACCAGCTTTAAATAGACAGCGGCAGAGACAAAAGCAGAGTGCTATTTTCCACCTGAGCCAGGAAGCAATCTGTACATGTACTTGTGTTGTTCTTACGTATTGTTCCTCTCTCAAGGTCTTTGACAAAGTCCTTAATCTCTGGAATTAGAAACCAGGGCAAAGCTTGATCCTTTCTATGGAGATAGTGGCAATGTTTTGTATAAAGCAAAAGATTTAAAAAAATGCAGTTATATAATTATGTTATGTTTATAACTGCATGGTGATGACTGAACAGAATGCCAATGCCATAATACAGAAGTGAAAGATATCAAATCTAGTTGTGTGCCAAAAAGCCAACAGGAAACACCCAGTCAGTAGAGAAAATACAGTAAAAAAATAAATGAATAATTATGAAAAGATTTCCTCTAAATGTTATTTTTTAACTTTGTGCTCAAATTATGACAGAGCGGGCAAAATAAACATTCTAGAGAAACAAATGTGACGGGTCTACTGATGTTTCACACCTCTCCTTTCAGTTAAATAATCACTAAAACTGACCAAGCACTCAGACTGAAGCAGAGGTAATGGCAAAAATAACACCGACTTCACTTAATTCTAAAATAAAAAAATAAAAGCAGTGATTCATACCTGTTGATGCAGCCTATAAAAAATAACTTTTTTCCACAGATAAACACTCTGGTGATCAGGCAATAAAGCAAAATTGAATTCCCTCACCTGTAGACGGGTGTTGAGGTGGTTTCCAAATAATGGTGGCTGGGTGGGTGCATGAAGGGACTGAGTCGGGGGCTGGAGGGCACGAACACGAGAGGACTGTTCGGCTCACTTCCCAGGGACTGAAGGCTGCCATCTGAGGGTGGTCCGTGGGCGTCCAGAGGAGCAGAGTAGTAGCCAGTGGTGGAGTGGCTGTAAAGAGTCGGGGCTGGGGTGGGGGCGGTGTAGTCGTATGTCCCTTCTAGGAAGTCCACAGTGGCTACCCCTCCAGACCCCCGGCTCTCTTCGGGATACATGTCACTGAAGGGGGCACGAGGTGGAGACGAGGGACGCTGCGGAGAGAGGGTCTCCAGCTCTGAGAAGGCTGGGCTGATCCTGGGTCTGAATGCTGGTCCACAAGGCTGCCTGCTCTGCGCCGGGCTCTGCCTGAGCAACATCACAGCACAACAGCACTGATACGCAACATGATTTAGACTTGCTCTCCCATTTGCTGGGGGGGGGGGGTNTCTCTCTCTCTCTCTCTCTCTCTCTCTCTTTCTCTCTCTTTCTCTCTCTCTCTCATAGATACTGTGGTTTGTTTACTTTGAACATGGGGAAATGGAGGGAACAGGCTGTGCCTGCAAAGCAGAAAACAGCCATGTCTCATGTCTCCCTGCATCTCTATTTTTTTGGTTCTCTCTGTTCATCATTTGGCTCCCTCTCCTCTGCCTCCTTCTCTCGTCATCGTTCTTCCTTTTCCATCATTCCTTGCATTGAGTCTTTGATTAAATCTCTTCCCTGGTTGCAAACTCAGCACTGTAATGATGAGGGAGAATTTCAGGTGAGAGAGAGGCTGCACTCCTCTCCATGGGGAACATGTAATTAGTCTTTCACTCCATGGCGGATGAGTTTGTGTCACACAATGGCTGGAAAGGTGTGAAATGGAAAATCTACAATGCTGATGTATCACTCTTAAGATGTGTGTGAGAGTGGGAGATAGGTAGAGAAATAAGGAGGAGGAACCAAGAAATGGAAAAAGTAGAGAAAGATGCATGTCACAGAGAAGTCAGGTAAGTTTTCCTGGCTACCTATCCAGTATGAGGTCCTGGGCAAAGATGAGTTTGCCAGGGCAGTGGATGGACCTCCAGATGAGCCCGATCATCAGCACCTCCAGCCAGGAGCTCTCCAGCAGCTGCACCTGGTCATGGAGGCCGAGCTGCAGGAAACCTACAAAAACACACACAAAGTGCATTTTAACAAGCTTTTCTGTGAACGAATCAAGGTGATCAACTCAGTGAGAAGAGAGTTAGACTTTTTAGAGTTTTGAACAGCTGTCTCGAAGGGATATCAGCTCTTTGACTAACAACCTCTCAAGCAGGGCTGCATCTAATGATTATTTTCATTTTAACTTTCTCGATTAACCATTTGGTTTATAACATGTCCATCCCATTTTCTCATAGTCCAAGGTCATGTCTTTAAATGTTTTGTCAGTCCACAGCCCAAAGATATTCAGTTTAGTATGTGCTGCAATTGCTGCACAATTTCCCTCGGGATGAATAAAGTTCTATCTTATCTCATTTAATCTTAATTAAAATAGAGGAAAAATAGGAAATCAACATTTCTTAAAAGCTTTTCCTGCCATTTTTGCATGAAAAATAATTCTAACTATTAATCAATTAGAGCAGATGATGATGATGGTGGTTAGCACTGTCACCTCACAGCGACAAAGAGGGTTCCAGGTATAAAATGTTCTCCCCTTGTCAGTGTGTGTTACTGTGGGTTCTCCAGCTTCCTCCCACAGTCCAAAGACATGCAGGTTTAGGTGACTCTAAACTGCCCATAGGTGTGAAGGTGAGTGTGAATGGTTGTCTGTCTCAGCACTGTCTGGCGACATGTCCAGGGTGTACCCTGCCTCTCGCCTAGTGTCAGCTAGGATAAGCTCCAGCCCCCCCGCAACCTTCAAAATAGTATGAGATTATTTTTCTGTTGATGAACGAATTAATTAGTCTAATCGTTGCAGATCTACTCACTGGTTAAGACAGTATAATTATCAGTAAAAACACCAGATGTGTTTCATCCTGATCATAGCAATTATTTAGAAGACCAAACACAAACAAAAGAAGCTGGTGTCAGTAAGTGTTGTTGTATCAGTGCTGATTACATGGGGCGGGGGGTGTTAAGTGCAGCATGGTGTGGAATATTAACACTCCCAGAGTTAAATGTTTTCTGTGCACCTTCATCCCACTCATAAAAATAAAAAAATGCAAGCCCCCTGTCTTCTGGCAGGGAATTGCTACTTAAATAAAACCATCTGCAATCTCTCTGCTCTCATACGAAGCCTTATCGCTGGCACTCAGCTGTTTCAATTCATATGTAATTACAGCCAATTCACTCCCATTGTACCCTGTTTGGGACCCCTCACAATTAAAACTGTGTGCCTTTGGGCTTTTAGTGACGCACAGGGTGGTAATACCTCAAAATCAGGATTTACTCACTTGGGGAGCTTGTGTGTGTGTGTCTGTGTGTGTATGCAAAAGGGTGATGTGTCCAATGCTGCATTTAGGCTCTATGGGGTGCCAGAAGATTGGCCAAACAATCCTCTCAAAGGTGATGACTGTAATAACCATCGCTGTAATGGCTCTGCATTTATGTGTGTGTGCCTCCACTATAAAAGGTCTCCCATCACTTTGCTGTTTCCTAAGCACTCAAACTGAGGCCCGAAATCCTTGTCACACAGCACAACTGTACATTTGGATGTTTAAGAAAGACTCTGTTTCCAAGCTTTTGGCACTACAGCTAATTTTGGACAATATGCGCGCACATATGTTACTACTGGGCAAGTATCTTTCTGATATCTATCTAAGTAAGAATTGTATTAAACCAGGCAGTTATTGTTCCGGCCAAAAGACTTGATAATGTTAGTGAATCTGGAGAAAATTACGTTTGCACTGATGCTGCGTTCACATCGTCAGGATGACAGTGGATGACAAACTGTCATTTTAGTGGACAGTAAAATTAGGTGACCGACAATGATAACCATAGAGGGCATTGCCGTCTAAAGTTAAAATATTTTAATTCTTTGCCACCTTGCCACCTCCTTCACACAAGGCAAAAACGGGTGATCTAAAAACTCAATATAATTTATTTGATATATTTAATTCCATTCATTTTAGAGTCCTACCCTTCTATCAGACTGTTTTCCCTGTGTCGTCCAGAAAGTGTTGTCCGTCTGCCCTCTGTCTGATTCCATGTGAACGCAGCATGAGAGGCTTTTATTTCATTTGGAGTCTTACGATTCAACACATTTATGATCTTAAGAGTGATCCCGGCAGTTTGTGAAGAAAGACATTTATTAACTTTCTTTGTTTTTTATGCTTTCAGTAACAGTGGCAGTGGCAGTGGGACAAAGAGGCCTGTTAAATAAAATACATATATTATTGATCTTTGGTCTGGATTCAATACAACTTTGAATTTGTTCAATAAACTTTTGTTTTACATATTGGCTGAGAAAATATCACACATGCAGGAAAAGCAAATGAGTTGTAGTTGTCCTCTCACAATCTACAGAAGAGCTGCTACTGTTCTGACAAGGGGCCTCATTACAGAAAAATATACTAATTGGTTGTTGTAGCTGTTCCACCAAAAATTAGCATGTCTGCAGGTGTTTTTAAACGTGAGAGTTTTAATGTTTAAAACATTTCGTCTTACAAATAAACTAGAGCTGTGTCTCTGCAGTAGACGAGCATGCCTTTCTGTTTTTTTTTTTACTTTTGTCATGTTTGACGTCAGGAACGAACTGGAAAACCGGTTAGTTAACAGTAGAAAGCAAGCAGAAACTGCATATTTAATTACATGATGAAGTTTCAGGAAACTTAAATAAATAAAAATAAATAATGTATAATAATAATAATAATAATAATTATGTAGGTAATTAACTGAGGAAGTTACATGGTGAAAACTGTAATTTCTTTATTCTTATTTTTTTGTCTAAAAATTTATGGAATTTTACAATAAATATCTATAAGGGCCTTTTTCTCAGACAAAAATCTTCACTTCAGTAGCATTAACATACACCAAACCTACCAGTTTTATTTATATTCTGAAGGTTTTTACTGAGGGGTTTGTTCATAAATCATCCATAGCCTCATTTTGTGCTAAATACATGTCAAAAATGTATATATGTGTATGTATATCCTTAAAAAATGGGTCTGGAAAACATACTGCATTATACAGTCAATATGAGATAGTTTGTACTGCTGAAAAACAACTAAGTATTTACTGGTGGTGTGACTACCACTAAGTAGTACCTGGAAGCTTCTTGGCCCAGGTGATCATGTGGACCAGCTCCTTATCGGCCATGCTGGTGAGCAGGGTCATCATGGTGACCTCGGTGTAGGGTCGGCTCAGCTTCTGACGAGAGCACAGTATGGGAGGCTCGGCACCCTGGAGCAGGAGGAGCACCTGGGAAACAGCAGAGAAACAGAAAACTATAAGCTGCTGTGCTTCAAACTGATTTAAAGCAAATACAAACATCGCTCAACATCCACTTGCTACATTGCCAGAATTTGGTATGAACGTACGAATATTTATGAACCTGGAAAATGATTCCTAATATTTATTTCAGATTCAAATTTTAATCCTGGAAAACAATTTGCACCACAATAAGGTTAAGTACCTGGTCAGGAGGCATGCCAAGCAGCAGTGATTTTCCTTCTTCACCATAGGCACTGCTGTGTTTCCTCCCGTCCTGAGGGGGCACTGTCCTATGCTCCAGGTCCTTAGAGGCCTTGTCCCTGCCACAGGTGCCAGTCCGTCGTTTGTCACGCCGCAAAACACGCCCGCGGTCCTTACGCACACCTGAAGCACACACCAGGGAGTTTAACACAAAATAACACACAAAAAAAAACCCACAAACATCCATACACACAGCGGCATACAAACTCATCAGGCTTCATCGCTCACACGCAACTTCACACCCTGTTTCTACGACAAAGTCCAGCAATGCAGATTCTATGGATGCCTGTGTGATTTAAGAAGTATGAAAACAAAAATGTGGGTGGGTTTTAATCAGTGGCTGTACTCCTTGAGAGGAAATCACTTCAAGGTCACGTTAAAGTTAGTCTCAAGCTTATCTGCATCCACCAGCACTCTCATATTTGTGCCAATCCTCTCAGCAACAAGCTTGATAGAGGCTATTAGTTTTGGAATTTGTTACAATGTGAGCGATCAAATAAGGTAAACAATACACAGAAGAGCTAAATTGTGCAAACAGAAAAATAAATAAAACAATTTAACCAAAAATGAAACAAGTAAAAACAGGATAACCAATAATAATGCAACCGAATTTAGACAGCAAATTGCAAAAAAACATCATGTAAAATAAAGCAAATTCTTTTAAAAAAGACAGGTCTTGGAAAAGATGGGAAGTCTGCTGTCTGCTGGTGTTACCTCCTTTCATCATGCCCACTTCGTAACACTTCCTAAGACGGCATGCCTGGCAGCTCTTCCTCCGATTCCTGTCAATAGTGCACTGATTGGTTGCTGGGCACATATAGTCATTGTGACCTGAAATGGAAAAAAAAAAATCTATTACTTCAAGCCCCCTGACTCCAGTGTTCAGCTCAGATTTATGTTATTTAGTAAGGAGCCGGGAACACGCTATTCCCATTTTAAATGGATCTGAGATGTAGAAAATTAAAACGTGGCATCTTGGCTTTGTCATTGTCATGGAGACTATTGGTTTCTTTATCAGACCAGTCTTCCATTGCAATGTGCTGAAGCATCATGTCACCAACATGACTAAGCCACACGGCAGATGAAGTTTTTACTTGTGCACAGAGGCAGCAGAACACGGAGGTTATATGACATGTTGCATGAAAGACATGAGAAGCAAACAGAGGAAAAATGTTTGAGTGAAAACAGAAATTTAAACTCAGCTCCTTTACATTAAAATCTGTTTCAGAACGTCGCAATTTATGACGTATTTTCACTTCTTTTCTCCTTTTTGAAGCTCCACTTTGACTGCTTATTTCTCTGCTAAGGTTTAAGGCAGTCATGACGATGTCTACGATACACTTTCTCAGAAATAGCTGCAATGGACATTATTGTCATTTTAAACCATCTTATGCCACTGATGTGATAATATATCATAATAATGCAAATACTAATTCTTAAGCAGTGTATTTAAATGACAAAATGTAATTGTAATCAGTTATAGTTACTGAGAAAACAGATCAAAATGCCGTTGACACAAAGGCGTTACATCTGAACTTATTCTTTTAGGTTTATATGTAGAATTTGATATTCATTCTGTTGCTTTGCATTTATTCACAGTGCAGAAATACCTTTTTTTGGTAAAGCTTTGTTCCATACATTTTCGGCTTTATTGCCCTGTTTAAAACATTTTTAGAAAAGTAATCAAAAAATATTTAAATGTAATAAGTAACAATACTTTGATGAAGTAATTAAAATAGTCCCATCACTTATTTCACTTTAACAAGATAACTAGTAATCTGCAACCTGTTACTTTTCAAAAGTAACCTTCCAGATTGGTAGAAAAAGATTTCCACACACTTACATCTACGCAGTGTCTCACTTTATTGCTGAGCTTTCGGTCAACCTTCATCAGAGCATACATGAGGCAACAATGGACAAGCTGATCAAAGTAACCATTCTCAGTCTTATCACCGGCTGTATGCAATACACCTGTGTGTGTAACTCTGGTGGTAGGAGCTCCACCTTCTGGGAGTTGTAGTTTTTTTTAAATACTGGATGTAAAGCAAAAAAGTAACCTTCCAGACACTGTAGGAATATTCTCAAAGTGAAATACAAGAAAATAAATGCTAATTAAGTGAAATACATAGCAACATCAATACAAAGAGTTGGCAAAAAAGTTGGCAAAAGTTGGCCAACGTTCCACTGTCAACCTTTTCTGCACCAAGAGGAAGTAAACTTAAGGAAGGAAGTACATGGTTGCTAACCATACTCATATTATTTCCCCTTAACATGTTGAATAAACAATATTTTACTGTTGTTCCTCCACATTTTCTTAGTCTCTTTTATAAATTAAAACCTAAATTACTTGAAAAACTTAAATAAGTTAATTTTCACTGCGTCTGCACAGCCTTGCTTATTCACTGTGTCTATGGAAACGACTGTGAATGCAGCCATAATGGATTCCTTACACAGAAATGGTAGTCTGTTTATTTTTCTGATAACTGCATCACTGCATAACTCATAAATGTTCAGACAAGTTTCATATTTTGTTATTTCTGATGCTATGTGTATGTGCAATCAAAGATATTTCCCAGTTTTCTTTCAGACTAATCTGGTTGCAGATGTCCAGATTTGGTGCAGTTATAAGGCACCTGGGGAAGAGCTATGAATTCTGGATTGTGCATTTTAGAAAACAGAATAGGGGCAATAGTCTGGAAACACAAACATTTTTCCATACTCTCTTCTCTTTTATCCATACTTATCCAGACCTGGAAATCACTAAAAATCAAATTCCATACTTTTCCATACTGCGTGGGAACCCTGATATCAATTCTGATTTTAATACTAGTTTTCTGTTTACTACAACCCTTGTGCTCTACTGTGCTACTTAGCAAGAAATTAAAAGTTGGTGTTGTCATATAAGAGCCTTGTTTAGCCTAATTTTACTTGTATGTCCTCAATACTAATTTCCCCATGTGTTATCAGAAGTTCTATTAAATATCAATATTTGATCAAAGTAAGAAATTCCAGTGATATGACAACACTAAAGCAGACAGGTTACCTACCCTGAATGCTCCTCTTAAAGAAGGCCTTGCAGCCCTCACAAGACCACACCCCATAGTGGTACCCAGAGGCATAGTCACTGCACACGGCACAGAAACGCGTCTCTTTTGTCATCTCAAACCCCACGGCCCTGGCTCCAGCCCCCGACTCCCCCATACTGTATGCCTCGTCACTGGTGCCGCACTGGTCCTCCCTGGAAACTGGCTGCTGACTGGATGGGCCACTGGACCTACAGCAGGATGTGGATTTTGGCTCTGTTAAATTATGTCACGTATTGTGCATTTGCAATAAAATAAAACAGGACTACTCCAACAAATGTCTTTGATCATAAAAAGTTGGAGCCAGCAACACCTAATAACAATTCAAACATTTACCACACCAGCTTTAAATAGACAGCGGCAGAGACAAAAGCAGAGTGCTATTTTCCACCTGAGCCAGGAAGCAATCTGTACATGTACTTGTGTTGTTCTTACGTATTGTTCCTCTCTCAAGGTCTTTGACAAAGTCCTTAATCTCTGGAATTAGAAACCAGGGCAAAGCTTGATCCTTTCTATGGAGATAGTGGCAATGTTTTGTATAAAGCAAAAGATTTAAAAAAATGCAGTTATATAATTATGTTATGTTTATAACTGCATGGTGATGACTGAACAGAATGCCAATGCCATAATACAGAAGTGAAAGATATCAAATCTAGTTGTGTGCCAAAAAGCCAACAGGAAACACCCAGTCAGTAGAGAAAATACAGTAAAAAAATAAATGAATAATTATGAAAAGATTTCCTCTAAATGTTATTTTTTAACTTTGTGCTCAAATTATGACAGAGCGGGCAAAATAAACATTCTAGAGAAACAAATGTGACGGGTCTACTGATGTTTCACACCTCTCCTTTCAGTTAAATAATCACTAAAACTGACCAAGCACTCAGACTGAAGCAGAGGTAATGGCAAAAATAACACCGACTTCACTTAATTCTAAAATAAAAAAATAAAAGCAGTGATTCATACCTGTTGATGCAGCCTATAAAAAATAACTTTTTTCCACAGATAAACACTCTGGTGATCAGGCAATAAAGCAAAATTGAATTCCCTCACCTGTAGACGGGTGTTGAGGTGGTTTCCAAATAATGGTGGCTGGGTGGGTGCATGAAGGGACTGAGTCGGGGGCTGGAGGGCACGAACACGAGAGGACTGTTCGGCTCACTTCCCAGGGACTGAAGGCTGCCATCTGAGGGTGGTCCGTGGGCGTCCAGAGGAGCAGAGTAGTAGCCAGTGGTGGAGTGGCTGTAAAGAGTCGGGGCTGGGGTGGGGGCGGTGTAGTCGTATGTCCCTTCTAGGAAGTCCACAGTGGCTACCCCTCCAGACCCCCGGCTCTCTTCGGGATACATGTCACTGAAGGGGGCACGAGGTGGAGACGAGGGACGCTGCGGAGAGAGGGTCTCCAGCTCTGAGAAGGCTGGGCTGATCCTGGGTCTGAATGCTGGTCCACAAGGCTGCCTGCTCTGCGCCGGGCTCTGCCTGAGCAACATCACAGCACAACAGCACTGATACGCAACATGATTTAGACTTGCTCTCCCATTTGCTGGGGGGGGGGGGGTTGAAGACAAGTGCTGCTCTCCTTCTCTCTGTCTCTCTTGCCTTTTTACCGATAAAGCCTGTCAGGCAACTTGAAGGGTCCACTATTCTTCCAGTCCCTTTGCCCTATCTGCCTTGAGCTTCCACCCACCAAGCTCCAAAAAACAAAAAGACTCCTCCCAATCGCCTTCAGGTTTGTTTTTTTTTTTAAATCAGCAGAGCGTTTCCCTCTTTTCCTCTGATACATCTACTCTATAGGGGGGAGAGGAAGATGGACAGAGAAATAGTGATTCCCAAATAACTTCCCTGTCCTGTCTCTCTCTCTCTCACACCCCTATAAAATGCTCTCTTATTTCACCTGTTTTCTTAATTTTGAAAAGCTCTTCCCAGTTGCAGCTGGTGCACAGATTAAAACATCTGTAAACTAGCAGTAAGCTGTTTAATTTATCTGATACTCAGCATGCTACCAGCATGACGTATGAGCAGTCTATTTGTAGCCACATTATTGGATACACCTGAGACTCTGCAGTAAATCAAATCACTCTGGAAATGAGAAACATTAAACAACAGTGGCTATTAAAAAAAGGCAGAAATCCACCATGATACATTACTCACCTCTCACACATGAATCATCCCCTCATCTGCCGTGCAACACTGGCACTGTTTGAGTCTCCTCTGTCTCTGTCTCTGCTTGCCTCTCTCATCTCTCTGACTCTCAGCTATCTAGCCTGGCTCATTGGATACAATGGGAATGGTGGAAAGGTTAAAAAAGAGGATAAACAAATTAAAGATGCAGCCAAGTCGATAACCAAACAGCAGTGTGTTTTACTGCCAGGTCACCATAACACAGCAAACAAAGCAGGAGGTCAAATCTCATTCCAACAGCCAATAATTACACAATCAATCCCAAATGAGGGGATCGGTGGCTATTTTAATCAGATGCTGCTTGAACTTAAGTATTTTTTTTTAAACTACAAAAAAAATACAGGAACGTTTTTCTTTACATTTTCCTCATGACATTTCATTGAAAAACATATTACAGGATCACAGTATGGACCAGTCAATCATTACTTTATCAGGTCAAGCCGGAGATTAAACAGAACATTATATATGAACCAATCAAAGCAAAGGGGCAGAGTATCTATGCAAATAAAGGCTTAGGAAATCAATGTTCATGTTTACTGCACAAAAGTTCCAGGTCTGTGATTGTCAGGGATCCCATGAGTCCTTGTATGTTTGGGGACATGGCGTCAAGGTAAAAAAAAAAAAAAACCTTGAGCTGAAACACTACTAGGAAAACTAATAAACTGTAAGTGTAAGGATTATTTTCCAACACTTGTGGCAAAATAAAGTGTAAAATAAAACCAGTTACAACAGGAGCTCAATGGGGAAATAATAATTTAGAGCACACATTTGAACAAAGTCATTTTTAAAATAATCAATTTCAGATCCAATGATACAAATGATGATAAAAATCATCAAATAAGTTGGGTCTTGAATTAAAATATACTTATTTCTTTGTGATACAGTCATGCAGTCAATAATGCAAGAAATTCATAGAAATAAAGATCACAAGCAACAACCTCCCCCACTGAGGACAACCTGAACATTTGGCACAGGGACTTCATTTTCCTTTCTCTGTGCAACATCTTTCTTGAGTAAACAGCCCAATTTTCAGGACATGTCAGGTCAAGTGGAAAACAAGTAGCCCTGATGATGATACATATTTTTTTAGGCATTTCCCCTGGAGTAAAATGAAGACACTGTTACATTAGAAAACAGGAAAATGAAGGTTAAGAAATGAAATAACTAAAATCACCTAAATGGCTCAAGATAAGGCTGCTTCTTGCCGTAATTGAACTAATCTTTATGACAGATGACATTCACAAAGCTTGTCAGCAGCATAAATTATGCCATTCAGTTTTCCGAGCTCATCCTGGAATTGTAGTGCACGTGTTGCAGCATTTCCAGCTGTTTTTCTAGGTCCACCCTGACCTTGAGTATCAAAAGGTCAAACACTGTGTTAAAATATCTATGAAAACTGTCACACTACTAGTGAAGATTTAAACTATCTACTGATGCATTATTATTGGTGTACACGTGCTTTTTGGTGAACTGGTTCAGAAATGCTGTTCCTGCACTGGCACAGTGTTGACTGCAATTAATAAATCTGGATTCATACACTATGTCAAATGTCATTAATAAAAAAAATCTCTCATCCTTGTAAAGTACGACAGTGGGGAAAAACAGAAGTCAACACAGTTTATTAAATCAAATTATCCCATTAATGAAAATGATATCATCTCCCCCAGCAGCACTGAGAAGAATCCAGTTAACATCACCTCTGAAGTACTGACACTGTCAATTTAGATGACATAACAGTGTGCACAGGGACATCCATTTTTATCTATGTAGATACAGAGGTCTGGGTTGCCATTTTAATCTACACAAGCACACATCATCACTGTTATTATTACACTGCCCCGATAACAGTCTGCCATCTTTCAAACAGAGCAAAGCGGTTACCAAATTACGTTGTGATCTCCCTTAGGTGACTTTAAATGGCTGTCTGCATGTTTTGATGCATGCATATATCAAAGACACTGAGTGCAACAGTAGAACAACCTGAGCTGAGCTGAAATAAAAATAACTATATATTACATCTCTCATCACTCTCCTCAACTGCATGCAAAAAGAAAAGTATTGCTGCTGAAGATTTTAAAAAGCCCAATTTTTACTCCGTGACTGTTAACAGCATCTACATTAACCTGTAAACACTATATGACTTAATACAACTGAGCACAACACATTAGCTATTTGTGATAAAAAGCAATCTTGGTATGTTACCTCTGAGGATAAACGTGTCGTCGTAAACAACTGTGTTCAAATCATGGGAAAACATTTAGATCTTAAAGTGCTAACATTTTAAGTAAGACATGGTACAAATGTTGTGAAAATACCTGTTAAATATTTGTTACTGTGCGTTTCTGTATCAAACATTATGAAGACTTAACTGACAATGAGGAACACAGACATCATTAACCTCATGTAACTTAACGGTCTTATGGCTTAAAGGTAACTCCTTCTTGAGGGACTTCTTACTGAAATATTCCTCTGAATCCACGTCTTCTCAGTGAGATCCTCAGTCTTTCTTTTCTGACTTTGAGTTGTGGTACTGAATGACGGCGTATTTGCCACTGGTCATCCAGTCTGGATCCTGGGAGGTGAGCTTCTCAGCTTGGCCCGGCTGCAGACCTACTTGAATGTTGGCCTTAAGAGTCCTCAGGCTACACAGTGGCGCAGGCCCAAAACCCCGTAGCGCAGTATCAAAGCCCACTGTGTGATCCCACTGCCTGTCCCCTGTCAACTTTCTGTAGTTGAGATCGCCTTTAAAAAGCACCAGGTCTGCCCCCTGCAGGGTCGCATGCAGGTCTGGAGCATCAGCCGCCATGTCACAGAACTCATGCGGCTGCGTCCAGAAAGGATGATCATGATAGGACCACACGCCTTCCTTCAGGTAGGTATTCCACTTGACACCACTCTTTGACATCCACCTGTGATTGGCCGTCATGGTCTGCCGGATGGTCCACTGAAAATCATTAGCTGTGACATCAGAGACGAACCACGGCAAGCATTTGCCATGAAAGTGGACCTCATGGACAAGGCCAGAGGAGACCAGGAAATCTGCTAAGACCAAGTCAGTGACTAACTCAAAGCCAGCATTGTCTAGAACAATGTCCACTCTGACCCCAGTGGTTTTCTCAGACTGTCCAGGTCTCTGGGCTGAAATAAGAGTTGACCATACCATGTTGGTGTCATTCACCAGGATGAATGGTTGCAGGCTGCTGAGGGAATCTATTGGACTGGTCTTCTGTGAGTTTTCTTGGCCGGCAGAGATAGACAGATCACACTTGTTCCCCCACAGAGAAACCTAGTAAGAGTCAAATAAAAAAAAAAGAAAGAAACGTCAGCCTATTGTAATGTGTTCACTTTTGACCCAAATAAATAGGATAAATGGTACAGAATATAGATGAATGGACAGAATATTTTGTTTGACTTAATCCATTCATCATCTGTCACAGTTTTTCACTAAAACTTTCAGGGGTCAGAAAGGGAGCTGATGAGAGCAGTCAGACTGAAAACATGACTGCATCAGAGTCTTGTAAATGGCTGGACAATGCCAAAACTGTTGGAGAGCTTTTCATTTTAAACAGGAAGTGGTGGCATTCACTCAGTCATGGACTTTCGTTAGTTCGTAAAACATCCTAATGAGTGCTGTATAATCATCGAAACTTATTCATCGGTTAACATCTAGTATGTTTTGTAAGGTGGTGGCTACTGTTCTGACATCTTATTTTCTCTTAATAGAAATAGTGGCACCCATTTCGACACTGTAACACATAATATTCAATAATGTTAGTCATAAATTTTAAGGTGTGTGTCATCCAGACACACTCCTGACTCTTTCCTCCATCCAAAACTGCCATGTTGACTGCAGCTGGCTAGGTAGCTAGCTAACTTGGTAACTCCACCATGCTTTTATGGTAAGGCTAGATACAAAAAAAAAGCCAAACAAAGTTGTCAGTCATCTGGCAATAGGGATGTGCTTTCCTACACTGTGACAATGTGTGTGGATGAAGCATTAAGTTGTTAAATTTTACTCAGAGGATAGCTACTTAGCTTTTCCACCATGGTATAATGTTTTACTGGTTACAGAAAATGAGGAGTACAGTTACACAGGACTGACACAATACTTGCTGCATCACTCTCTGACTTTCGAAGTTGAGGGCCATGAAAAAATTCTAAAAGACTCTTAAGAGAGGGGAGCTGCAGAGGCAGGTAATCAAATCTGTGGGTTTGTCAATACAAGCTACCTGTTCACATTACATATCATCATTTGAACCACTGTTGATCTAAAATTATTGCTTAGTGCAGCTTTAATTGTCATGTATTGAGCTGGTATAGAAGAACTTACCTGCAGCAGTTTGTCAAAATGCTCAAACAGCTGATTCTTGGAAAGTTCCTCCAAATTCTTGCTAATGCCCTCAGTGTATGTGCATAAAGCCATCACAGCCTGCTGAGACTCAAAATAGCTCTGAGTCTTTCCCTCGTTAAAGACATCATAGTCACTGATGGGAGGACTGGAAAAAAGCAAAATACAATCATGACCTAGAACAAAATATGAAGGAACAAGAGAGGGTGTATTTACTTCTAATACCGCAATATTCCAATATTTACCTTTGTTATCATTAAGCAAACATTATGATGATGCAATATCCTTAAACACTTTTTATGAAAATAGTAAAACTAAATTTTGCAGTATATGAAGCAATTTCATTTCACATTTTTCTGAGAATAACAGAGTGAAAGAACTTGATGGCTCAAATTGCCATTGTTCTGCAATACAATGGTCTATCATCATATAAAATGACTTGCCCCACCATTTTGACTTTGACCTAAGAAATAATGCAATATATTGCATGGGGAAAAAAGACATGTACTCAAAAGCAGGAATCACGGCAGCAATAGTTCCTATGAAAAGACACGACTGCCTCTTACTTGAGCCAGAGGGCCTCCTGTACCCTGCGGTACATGTAACACTCCACATAAAGCCATGGAGACTTGAACCAGCTGACAGGCTCTTGGTCTCCGTGCAGTTTCTGTTGTCTCTCCAGGTACTGGTTCCAGGACTCTGTGTCTTGCAGGCCATCTGTTAGTGGTATTACTGGCTTATCAGTCTGCAGCTCATTCCTCATTTTGGACAGCAGACCTATTGTTTGCTTCTC